CAATTTCTGTTTGCCTCTGATTGTACTAATTTGGTTCTATTAATTCTAAGAGTAAATTCCATAATTGGCCCTTTATAACAGGAGGGTTTCCCACTAATTCCTCTATTATCAAATATTACCCCAATGGTCCTTCTTTTATGGGTACCTTTCCATAAATAGTCCTTTTTTTGATCTTCTATCATGTTGGTGTTAATTTGAGGGCTAAAAGTGTAATTTAACAATGATAATATATCTTTTTTGTCATACACAATTCTAAAGGATATTCCGTTTGCGCCGTTTGTGAATTACAATCGCTTTCTACTACAATCATAATCTAAAAATGTGGTGTTTCGTCGAAATCCTAGCCCACAATCATTGTCATTATTTTTGTGTTATCTGCATAACCAATATCAGAACACGTCACTAGACATAATATTGATATCAAATTATACTTTTAGCCTTTAAATTAACATCAAAATGGCAGAAGATCAAAAAAGGACCATTTGGGGAAAGACACCCTTAAAAAAGGACTATGAGGATAATATTTGCTAATAAAGGACTAAACACGGAAACCCCCCTGTTATAAAGGACCAATTATGGAATTTACTCTAATTCTAATAAGGACAAAAGAGACAAAGATTTTGTATTTCGCATTTAGGTCCTATTCTTTTAGGTTGGTAAAATTAATTTTTAACTTTTTCCAACTTCTTCGAGTTCTTTCCAACTCCTTCTAGTTTATTTCAACAACGTCTTAAAAAATATATTTATATATGTCGAATATACAATAACATTATATATCTAAATTTATAATATATCACCTTAAACACGTACAATAATGCATTCTTTTTTATCCAAAATTATAATTTTCTTACACATTTATTCAGTTGATCATTTAATTGAATGACTTTTTAACACTTAAATTCTTCTAACATTTTCCAATTCCTTCTAGTTCTTTACAACTCCTTCAAGTTTCTTCCAACATCAACTCTGAAATTCTAACCCAAAAAAACACATAAAATTTAGAATGAAGAAGGGATCACTGGACTCGGCCATAAGACACTTGGGTTTAACCACATTAAAAAATTAAATCCAATCGATTATTTAGTTCCAATTAAGAGCTTATATACTCATTATTTTCTTTATATTTTTCCAATGTGGGATACTCTTTAACACTTCTCTTCAAGTGGATGATCAAGTCATTTTGAATCTAATCGGTTGACCGCTTGCAAATGGACTCCCGTTCCTTTAGTTTTTTAGCATCAACACAAAAAGAACCACGAGCGCTGGGTATGGAATTCCTAACCAGCAATCGGGTTAAACATGCCACGAATTGTTGGATATACATTCCACACAGACGACTCGCCTAAAGACTCGGGCCGCTAGGAATGAATGTCTCGACAAACACCTTAACAAATGAGGTGAGTTAAACCTAGTTTTGATACAATCATAGAATTTAGAATAGAGTATGAATCACTAGACAAAGTTATAAGGCACTTGAGTCGAGCCACATTAAAAGATTGAAATCAGTCGATTATTTAGTTCAACTCAAGAGCTTTTACATCTATGATTTTCTTCACACTTTTCCGATGCGAGATCCTCTTTAACAAAAACAATGGAAAGGTATGTATATATATGATTGAAAAGAAACTTTGCGAGCGAATTTACCTTGCACACAGGCCGTCGAGTATCACCCAAAATATTGACAAGTTCTGATAAAAATATCGGAATCAATCTTTGTATTTTCTGGAAGACGTGTAGTCACTTTTAGATTGAAATTATTTGTCAGTTCACACGAATCTTTCAATCAGATACAATTCATAGAGAGTTAAAGAATAAAGTAGGAGGAATTTGTGATGATTTTCAAACCTGTGTGATAACCAAACTTGCGAGAAGCTTTAAAGGCACGGAGAAGGAATGAGAATTGTCGTTTGCAACTTTGTCCAATGATCGTGTCTAATAGGGCGTTTGTGTGTGTTGAGTGCACTATAAAACTAGGGTATGCTCTTTTTCTAACACCAATTAATTTTAGAAGAGTTGGTAGCACCTGAGGCTCTACAAAAATAAAAATTCAAGTAAATTTCTTACAGAGCAATCTATCTAAAATAAAAAATTATCTCGAACCCAGCCAAGGGCTCTGCTCCTTGGGTCTCGCAAGTGCTGCTGCCCCTTGAACCCCACTTTCTGGGGCATTGCCCCGAACTCCCGCTAAGGGGCGCTACCCCCTTGGAACTCCTGTTAACATACTTAGGGGCAAAACAAGACTTTTATTATAACAAACTCAACGAAACGTGAACTTTGCATGACTGAACTTCTTTGATGATTATTCTAATAAGATTGGTCAAATAGTCATTCCAATTACACTAAAATATACTCTCTCCATCCATATTTAAATTACAAATTGCGGAAAACAACATAAATAAAAAAGAAAATTTACATATTTAAAAACTACATCTAAAGTTTTACAAAACAAGAGGTGACGAGAATATTTTATATCAAATAACTAATGAAAATAAATAAAAATTGTCGTAATTTTAGGACAGTAAACATTGTACAGTAATTAATTGTGAGAAGGAGGAAGTGTAACAAGTTCTCACACTTCTAAGTCAAAATGAAAATGTTTTTTCATATGCAAGTACTCCATACCAAATGTGGCGTCTAATGCAATCATAAGCTTTCTACATCTGTCAAGTCTTCTCCAAAAAAAAAAAGAGAGAGACATATATTCCAAAAGATGCAAAATGTCTCCAAAATTGCTGTCACATGAGAATGGCAAGCAGCTAAAAAGAAAGATAGTGCTCCTTTTTTTTTTTTATTTCATTTGTAAATATATCTCGACAAACATTTGAGATATTGGAATATTGTTTCTGGTGCGTTGCATATGTGTAACCAATAAATGATTTTCCAACAACTTATTCTCCATTTTAGAAAAAGGTTTCGAGTTAAAATGTACTATGCAATTATGAAAAGAGTGAAATATACATTTGCACCCCTCAGTTGACACCACAAGTGATCCCCGCCTTCTTGAATAGGACGATTGTGCCCCTACAACGGCATTATTAAGGTTGTTCACTTGGATCAATCTGATTCGGTCCTTTGGATATTCATAATTTTTATCTATATTATGTCCCGATCTAGAAACCTTTGTATTTCCAAAATTTTGGATTAGCTCAGTGGAATATCCGTGATGAATTTTTATTTTATGTTTGGGATTGTTACTCTTTTCAATGGTTCTAAACAAAAATGCTGGGGGACGATTTTTTTTGTTAAAAAAGATTCATAATGAACAAATTAAGTATGTAGAAAAAGACTACTAATAAAAAACTTAGATTTAAAGATCTATGGAGATAAAAATGTGTTGGTATTAGGTGGTGTTTTGCTTTTATATACTCCGAAAATTTTTTCTTTTAATATGAACTTCAGATATCCGTAGATATTCAAAGTCTTAATGCTCCTCCGTTCCAAATTAATCTTTCTCTTTGCTTTTTCAAATAGTTTAAAAAAGTTAAATTGTTTGGTAGAAACTTATGGAGAGGAGAGAATCAATATTAACTACTTACTTCATTCATTTCATGAGAAATTTATTTTGGAATAACTCAAAAAGAAAAATGAGAAAATTAATCTGGGAAGAAGGGATTATTTCACACACTCCATGTCCAATCCGTATTTTTTCCTATATCCAATCCAAAACATCCTAAAACTAAAACAAATGATCAAATATCCATTTTTCTAGTCGATTCAGTCTGGATCGTGGTCGGATGCTCTCATAGGATAATTTCGAACACCCTTAAAAAATTCACACTTTATCTATTTCCATTTTAAGGAATAAAGGACTCAATAACATTTGCTTTCTTTTAAACAAATTATAACCACAACATTTTTCACTTTTCAACATTTTTTTGAAGGATCGATATTCAAAGAGGTATTACCACTATTAAAATAAATTAGGCATTACATACAATAGTAACCATAGTGAGAGGAACCCGAGACCATCAATTTCCAGTTGACCTAGGGCCTGTTTGAAAATAGCGCTAGAGATTTGCGTTAGCGTTTTGGATAAAATTTAAATGGTGTAGATTACTTTGAAAATGCTGGCGCGAAATGCTGTCAGTACATAGCCTTTTCAAAACGCTAACGCTAATCTCTAACGCTGATGGTGTAAATATAGCTGGGAGGGTTGACCGGGTTTGACCTGGACACAGACTACCCGTAGTAAAATACACACAACAAGAACACAAAATATGACCTAGACCGAGTAAATCTCCTCAGTCCGAATTATATTTCTTACTCTATCTCAAGAGTGTACTTTTAGTGAGATAAAACTTGGATCCCCTCCTCTATCCATAATCATCATATTTTTAGAGGATTTGTGACCTTTCCTTGTTCATCTAGGGACAAAATAGGAAACCCAGAGGAAGGTCACTGTACATAATGTAATCACTATTCAATCAGTGATTTTAGTAGCTACAAGCCAAGACACTGTTCAATCAAAGACTATAAGATAGATATTCTCAATCCAATCAACCCTGCAAGATGACAAACATCCCTTTCACTGTATGCCTCGTGATGGATGAACGGCGGGGTGGTCCCCTGGCCTCTGATGCTGATTGCCATGCTTAAGAGATTGCCCCAATGTTAGCCAAGTAAAGTGATATGACCAGTCACCTTTTCTCAAAGGTTACCCGGTCATTTCTTGAGCTCAACCCGTCTCTTTGGTCCTCTCGAATATCCTCCGTAACATTAAGTGACATTTTGGCTATCGCCCAAAATGTGACCGGTCACTTTTTGAAGAAACTGACCGGTCAACTTTTGACCCGGCTCCCTCGAAGAGTTTGCCTCATTTGGTGATTGAAGAAAGTGACCGGTCATATTTTGACCTGTCCCTTTCGGTTATTCGGGCCGAGTATAAGGATATACGTACCCATCAAACGCTAATCCCAAACAGGCCCCTAGATTTCTCCTCTTTTATAAACTACATTCCTAGCTAGTGAGAGCACCATTGACATATTAATCTTCCAAAGTAGGATCTTGTACTATGTTTATTTATGGAGTAATTTACGTAAATGTGAATGGACAATGATCTCTAGGAGTAACTTTAATTTGTTATAGCTCAGAAGCTGAATGACATCAATCCTACTAAACTTAGTTTCCATGAATCCATTCCAGTTTCCGAGACATTTTTTTCACTACGGGTGTTGGTTGACAGGAATCGGATGCCAGAATGGGCATTTCATGTTGGTCAAGAAATGAGGGGGAAGGGTCAAGATTAGGGTGGACACGGGTCGGGTTCGGGTCCGACACGTATTAGATTAGGCAACCAGATAGGGTTGCATGTTATTTGAAATGGCTTTTGTGATCCGATCCGTTTGGGGTTGGGTTGGGCATGGAGTCGGGTAGTTCAGGCCGACGGATTTGGATAATGATAATAATAATAATACTCATAATAATACTAATAATAATAAGAATAACAACAACAACAACAAATTGATGAAAAAGCATTTTTCTAGGACTTTATATTCCAATAAAATATACTACGGGATATTTTAGTAGTTGTATATTTTACTTTGAATGATGAACACACAATTGCATACTCTAAGCTGTTATAATATAGTAGTATGAACTAAAGGGGTAAGTGTAATGAAATGTGTAGCTCATTCCGTCTTGATTTACATACTCGTATTGAAAGGTGGTGATAATATTATTCCTAACTCATTTTAAAAATATGTGGCTCAGAAAAGGATAATCCACAAATGGGGTGTATATAAAGGTCTTAAAACAGATTATCAAACAAATGAATTATTAAGTTCACCTTTAGGCAATTACTATATGCAACTTAAAGTTAAAACTTACAAACCTAAAGAATCAATTACACGGTAAATACTCATTTAGACATTTTCTCAAACACTTTCAACGCAAAACACATGTTCTACTTTTCTTTAATAAATTAAAGAATAGAACTTCAAAATTAGCAAATCTTATACAATGTAAACAATAATATACTAAAATCAATTACTTATAATATGCATACTTTTAAAAACAATAATTTATATAAGAAGTGAACATTTAGACTGAAAAGAAACTTACCTTTAGGTTTTCCGGTCTCAAGTGACAAAGACCAGATCGCAAGCACAGATTCAGCCTGCAAACAATACAGACCAGAAACACAAACTATAAATACAAATTGAAACACCAAACCAGACAAAATAACAAACCTTAAATTTCACCTCTTTTGATTGCAAGCAACAATTAATTAACAACCCACCATCACTTGCAGGAACCACCAGCTCTACAGAAGCAGATGAAGGAGAGGGATGGGCAGTAATAAAACTTGAAAAGTGAAAACGGTGGAAAAGGAAAATGCAAGTCGAGCCGCGTAAACAAAGAGAGAAACTGACCTGGCATCTTCAACTGATTTGGCATCTTAGGTGTAATGACACTTGGCATCTTGCGTGTGTGTGTGTGTGTGTGTGTGTCTATATATATATATATATATATATATATATATATATATATATATATATGAATTTATAGTCACAACATTGTTAAGCCAACACGAACCAATAACACAAAACAACAATCAATTATAGCTAACATCCATAGTTTATGCTCTCTTCGTCTAGATTTAATCTTCTCATTTAGATTTTTCTTCATTTTCAAGGAATGTTGACTATGGGGTGGATTTGTCCAAAAACTCCAAATACCCTTACTAAAAAGGTGGAAGAAGGTGGGTTGTTGGATTTAATGAAGGGGAAGGTACTTTTGTCCACACACACGTGTGAATGAAAAATGAGAAGATTAAATACGGACGAAAAAAAGGAAAAAATGAGAAGATTTAATCCATACGGAGGAAGTACGTATTACTATACAAATTTATGCTCCATAGTTTTTTCCCCCAAGTTTAACCTTATTTTTATATGGAGTATCTTTCAAGGGAAGATATTTTCCAAAGTAAAAGTATAGTCAAATCAACTGCTAGTAGAGTATAGTAGGTGTCCACGCCCAGTACTTCACTTCATTTGCAATCTTGATGAGTCTGACTCTTAATTTGACAAAAGTCTACAATGAGCATCGATTTGTGCACTGCAGTTAAAAATACTTTTACCCCTAGCGTTTCAAACAAAAAATGTCACAAAAACTAAGAAACAGACATGACTACAACCTCCAACAAAAGCTCTTGTGGTTCCAAAAAAAATTAAACATTAATTAAAAAGGGTGTAGTGTGCCATACAATTGCAAAACCATGTGTAAGTTACCTAAACCTTCCGAGCCAAGGTTCGTTGTTTTGTTGCGTGTTGGACAACCTTTTCCTCCACAGGAAGACCCTTCCTCCGTCTCACGTCATCAATAAGCTTTCTTGCTGTGTTGCGCAAGATGCTAGACCCATCGCCAAACTCTTCCAACTCTTCCTCGGTCTTGGGTACAAAGAAAGGGTCTTCAGGGAGTTCTTCCCAATGGCTGAGGACAAGTAAAGCACTTGCAGCACCAGAAGTCCATCTCCTCAGCTCATCAGCAAAGCCAATGCTCTGTTCAACTGGCAGGTATGCATGCACGGTGAACAATGGAGACCCCTCATGCATTTCTTCCTTGATGACCCTGGCTCGTCTCCGGGCAAGAACTGCATACATGGACCCCAGATACTCAGTTGGGGTGTTGAGCTCACAAAAATACATGCCTTCCACTAACCGAGGTTTCTTCTGAAGCACGGCTGCTCGGCAGGCATCCTTGACGGCTGTCATGACCTGTCCAGAGAAAACTCCATATTGGTCCACTTGGGGAACCGATGAGTCAGGATCAGTAGAAGAATGCCCATTCAGTGGGTGTATTGATGCCTCAATAGAAAACGCCAGACCCCACATTGGTTCTTCACACAAAGGTCCAGCTGCAGTGGCTAGCTGAAAACCTGACATTACGCTGCTCTCAAGACTCTCGGCTTCTCTTGATAAAGTTTGATCTGCATCCAATGATGATGGTTCGGGTGGTGAAGTGCTATTGTCAGATGTACACAGAAAACCCAATTTTTCAGATACATAAGGGAAGCCTCTGATGAGGACTGAAGAATCATCACTGTTCTCCTTCACATCTGGTGTGAGAAGAATGTTAGGGCCAACTTGCCAAGGTCCGAGAGCCCAAATCCTCTTAACAAACTTCTGCCATGTTTTTTGAAATTTTTCTATCCTCTCAGGTTCTGTTCCTGGAAATGTAGTTGAAAACTCATTCTCCACAGCATCCTTCATGTGTTTCTTGAGTGCTTCAATAGGATTCTCATCTTCCACGATGCTACCTCCGAGGGTTTCCATGCTTTTACTAGTGTGCAATGATTTACCTCCAATGATATCTCCAAGAACACTTGAACTTTCATCTAGTAACTTGGTCAATGCAGTTGGAAGCTTCATGACTCGCACTCGGACAACACATCTTCCATTCGGTGTGGTTTTCTCAATAACGTCATGGCCTTGGCTCAACAGTTTCAAGTTTTCAAAGAGATTCGCTGCATCACCTTCGATGGTCTCCCGGTATGAGACAAGAGGTTTCGAGACTTGCAAACTGACCTTTGCAAATCTCTCCTCCAAATCTTTAATGCATCTCTGAAGATGGACCTCTCCTGCTGCAGAAAGCACATGTTCCCCTCTGGCAGAAACAGTAACCTCAACAAACGGATCCGCACGGTTTAGAAGCTTCAACCCTTTCATGAGTGCACCCATTTCAGCAGGATCAGACGGCTCAATTGCAACCTTAAGAGTGGGTGCAACCTGGAAAATCATACTTGAAAATGGCCAGCAGTGTAGCGTAGATGAAAGGGTGGCACTTTTCAAAATGTGTTGGCCAAGACCTCTAATAGCAATAACATTCCCTGCCTTGGCCGAAGCCACAGGTTTCAACCCTTGGCCCATCATTAAATATAAGCCATGCAACTCAGCCTCTTGAACATGTTTCTGCACCGACTCAGACTTCAATGGATCATAAAGAGCAGAAAGAACAAATATCTTCTGCCCGGAGTGAATAACACCACTAAAGATCCTGGCAAATGCTAGGAAACATTCTTCTCCCAAATCGCCGTTTTCACTGTCATTAATAATCTCTCCGCGGGGAAGCATTTTAGATGGAACAGCAAACATTTTTGCAACAAATGCAATGCAAGGTGCCTCATCGCTGGAATTACAGGTCTCAACAGATTTCCTTACAAGTTCGGCTGGAGCAAAAACATCAGAGCTACCCCTGCTCTCCTCTCTCTTTGGAAGCAATCGAGGTATTCGAAAAGACTGGGCAGAAGCCGGGTCAGGCATGCATTTAATGACCATTGACAATACTGTATCAGCTAAGGGAAGCCAGCGGCTCATAACTGATTGAAGCACTGCTTTTGGATCCCTATGCTGAAGTTCGCGAGAAGGTATAGACAAATTGAATGACTTGATAACTTTCTCAAGCATCCTCTTACCACCATCTGCTTCCAGGGAAGCTTGATAAACCTGCCACAGTGGCTCAAGCACAAATTGCACAAACATTGGCCGAGCTTTAGTTCCACTACTAACTCCCTTCTTGCCTACAATCATCTTGGTCTTGGCGTTATAATACCTGGGGCCCCACAATGCTTTTCGTAATACAGATGAACTTGCTCCAAGTTTTGAAGCGTAAAATTCAGCAAAATCACTGATACTAAAGCCCCACCCATCAAGTGCGCACACAAACACTACATTACCCTTTTGGGGTTGAAAAGTATCCTCTTCATCGTCCTCCATAAACTCAAAACTTTCTTCATTCATATCTCCAGTTTGAACAGACAGAAGCGAATCAACATCTGACAAATACTTCTCAGCTTTGTACGCACTCACAATACCATTCACGTCATGAACAATCCTCTGCAGCCGTGTATGTGCCTCCATAGGACTCATTTTCAATTCAGAAATCAACCTATCAATCTTATTCAAGACCAAGCACGGTGTAACCTTCTCAATCCACGCTTGGCGCAAAACGGCATGGGTCTGAATATGAACACCCTCTACTGCATCCACCAATACTAAAGCTCCATCACTCAATCGGGCAGCAGTGGACACCTCACTGCAAAAGTCCATGTGTCCTGGAGAGTCTATAAGATTGATACAGTGATCCTGATATTGAAGAGCAATGGAAGAACTTTTCATTGTTATAGCTCGCCTCTGCTCCTCATCCAAGAAATCCATAAACCTAAGCCTGCCTGCCTGCTTAGGGTGAAGTACTCCTCCTCCAGATGAAGCAATCAAGTGGTCCGCCAATGTGGTCTTACCATGATCCACATGTGCAAGAATGCATATATTTCGGAGCTTTTGACATTCAAAGTCACTCATCTTTGTTATGTTCTCCTAACTACCTAAATTTCACTGAATTAGGTTCAATAGAGATGCAAAATAAGGAAAACCAAACTACATCATCAAAAAAGTAATCTATATACATAATAATGCAGTTTGTTTTGCGAATTGAAACAAATATTTCCCTATATCATCAATTCATCAAAAAACAGACTTTTTTTTATCCAAGTGTTCCTAGGGGTGGGCACGGGTCGGGTTGGGCTAATATTTTTCAAACCCGGACCCAGCTTGTTTTTATTGATACGGTTCGGGTCGGGACGGGTCTTTCAAAATTTAAAAATTGGAACTGGACCCAACCCGGCTTGTCCAATAGATGAAGTCTCCAACAAATGCATAGATAATCCGGCAACACCCTTTAACATGCTAATCTGATTGCTCCAAATAAAATGCAATCTTTTTTCATTCGATTTAAAACATAAGAATTTATGGATGCTTAAAAAGGGTTATTTATATGCCTAAGAATTTAGCCGAGCTAGGTTGGAGTTCGGCTTGAGATTGCTTGCTGCACTTAAGGGCTGTTCTTGAGGGGGAGGGCAATGTTGTTTTGTACTTCAAAGTTTAAACTTTGGAACAAAAAAAAAATAACACAAAGTGAGAACCCCCAATAAAGTGCGAGAATAAATCTGATTCAAAAAAAAAGTGGTAAGGGGATATACTGAAATATTGAAATCAGAATTCGTAAAATCTAAGCGGTGCACATAGAAGATATGGACATGAATTATTCATTAAAATTGAAAGAGATAGAATATCTTAGTTACAGGTGAGATGGGAAGCTTACCAGTGGACACGAGTCGTCGGAGATGAGAACGAAGATCGGTCGCCGGAGGAGAAGAGAACGGAACGGAGATCGGCAGCGGCGCTGTGAAGAACGAGATGGGTTGCGAGGATATGAACTATATCACCCTGCGACTCAGGCCCACTTAACCTTTTCTTTTTCTTTCCTGTCTATGAACGGTATTCATCACTTTTGGAAACTTTTCAAAACGGTAAAGTTGATTTCCAATCCTATTTCCAAACAGCCTTTGGTAAATGGGATTCGTCCAAATCTTGACTATTGCAAGCCACTAGAATTAAAACAGCCAAATTTAAAAAAGCTACCGTTTGTGGCGATAATGATTTGTAAATGAAATAGGTCGAGAGAAAATGTAAATTTTAAAACAGTAATGCTAGGGGTACAGTGGTACACTAAAGGTGTACCCTAAAATGTAAACCACCATCTTTTCCTCCATACATTTTTATTTGATTTTTATTTATTTATTTTTTTTTGAATTTTTTTACCTTTTTTAGTGGACAAGAAGGGGGTGGGGGACATTTGGGGTACACCTTTGGTGTACCCCTAGCATTTTTCATTTTAAAAAAGGGGTGTGTTTAAATGATGAAATGAAAAAAAAATTATTTTTTTAAAGTCAATGCAACGCAAAATTTGGGGAAAGTGTGATGGCCACCATGCGCATCACAATCTCACCAGAAGGCGGTGTTCCCTCATGATCACGCGCACATGTGTGCCATCCTCACCATGTATTGTCAATTCGTCCCCCCTCCCCCGTCCTCCCTCAGGCCACTCTCAGCCCCACCGCAGAGCTTAAGAGTACTTGGAGACAAGTGGACCGGACTTGCTTAGTATTTACTATTTAGAGATAAGATGATAAAGAACATGAAACTGCTATTTTAAAACTTTCTTCGTGTTTTACTTCTAATATAATTCTTTTCCTTTGTTTGAGTAAATATACGCGTAATTTTCTTTTCTCTTCTATGAAGTGCATATTTGTATTTGTACGAGTCCGTAGTTATTGTAAACAAATAGGACAATACATGTTTTTGCTTCAAAAAAAAATACATGTTTTAATGTGGGGCCGCGGATGAAGGTGATTGCCAAATGGAAATACAATGAGAGACCAAGGAGTGTATTCCAAATTTTAAAAGATTTTGATAGATTATTTAGAATCTATAAATTATATAAATTTTATAAATTGTTTCAAATATGTGTAGAATGGACATACAATATTGGATTTTAATGTACTTTATCTGTAAGACTTTATATGATCCTATTTGATTGTTTATAATTCATGGATAATGAATACATAAATATTATTTTTAAAATTTATACATTTTTCTAACATCATCTATTGTTAATGAGACGTTAAGACAAACAATTTTGTTAACATCAGCTCTTTGTATAACAATATTTCAAAATTTTGTTTCAAAATGAATATATTTATATTAAATTTATATGAATATTCAATATATTTTTTAAGTAATATGCAGTCAAAATTTAAAATGTTTGATCACAAAAATCAAATTGAAAAGTTAATTTTAGAACGGAGGGAGTACGAACATTGTATAGTAATCGAGGGAATAACACTCAATAAATGATAATGAAATGACAGAGGGGGCGATAACGCAATAACTAGAAAAAGAAGTAGCTAGCTAGAATAAAGCGGGAAAAATTAGAAGGAAATATTTATTTATTGATTCTTTTTTCTTTATTTATTATTATTATTATTTCTTTTATTTTATTATTACGGAATATTATTGTTGTTGTGGTTGGTGTTGTTTTTTAATGATAATGTGAATAAAAATTGGCGTAAAAAGAAGAAGAGGATAGAAGGGAAGGAGCTTTCGTCACTTTTAAACGATTAAATTGGAAAGAAGGAGAAAGAATTGAAGCTCTAATTTTGGGTATCCTTTCTTTCATGTTTTTTAAACCAAACAATGGCATACTTAATTCTCTTAATGAGAGCTCTTAAATTTGCCTCTTAATTAAATGAGAGTAATGATACTATTAAACGCAACAATATATTTGGCATTGTATGGTACGGTGGTAGTTTAGAAGCTTTTGGCATAATGGGTCGGTATTAATTAGTATTATGAGTCTTATTTTGTTTTAAAAATACTAAAAATCTTATTTTGATAAAATGAGCAGGGTTTAATCCTAATTACATATATTCCTTTTTTTAGCGTTACGATTTATAAGACCAAACTATTTTTTTTCATTTTATATACTCCATTTGTCCCATAAATTAAAAAAATGAGATTTAAAGAATGCGTAATTTTAGTAATACGGAGTACTTTTTACTTTTATTCTTACTTTATTATATAATAATAGCATAAGATGTGTTTGACATATTAATAATGAATATATTTACTACTACAGGTAGGTTTTAAATTAATAAGAATAAAAATGAAAATTTAATTAAAAGTAAAAAAATATTGTTTGAGAAGGAAGAAAAGTGATAATGAAAAGTTTTTTAGGACAATTGGAGTATATTTTTATCTATTATTTTATAAAATTATTTATATAACTTTTAATTTACTTTTAAAATATATTCTATAATACTACCTCCGTCCCAAAAAGATTTACACGTTTTGACTAAAGTTGAAATTAAGGGAGGGATAATTTTGTGTTGACTTTCCAAAAATACCCTTGATGTGATGGGTAAAAGTAAGATGTGATGTGTAGATTATTAGAAAAAAGGTATGATGTGATAGGTAGGGTTTGAAAAAGTAAGGTGTAAAAATGGTTTTTTAATAGAAATGGGTAGAAGATTGTGGGACGCAATTTTTTTGAAAGGTGTAAATCTTTTTAGGACGGGGGGAGTAATTTTTTTGATCGAATTTTACATGAACATTTTTTATCAATCAAACATCATAAATAAATTAAAAAGGGAGTAAAAAGTAAAAGTATTAACTTAATTAAGGAGTAATAAATGATTGAGAGGCGGGGTTTAGTAACTGTCACGGAGTGATTAAGTAGAATAATTAGGGAGTTTGTTACACTCGAAAAATTACCATCCTCACACTCCCCCGATTTTCACTCCCGTAACTTCCCACCCTCCCTTCTTATCCTCCGCCGCACCGTACCCCTCTCTCTCTCTCTCTCTCTCTTATCTCCTTGTATCTCTCTCTCTCTCTCTCTTTCTGTTTCAGTGTTTTTTCTTTCTTTCATTTGACTAAATCACTCATTACACAAATGGCGGCAACGAGCTTAATTAGTTACTGCCCTAATTGGGAACCCACTCACGACAACATCAACATCAACAACATCTTCCTTGACTTCTCCGAAACCCCCGACGACGCCGCCGCCCCTGTTTTCCTCCCCGACCAGCCGCATCCCTTGGACACTTACCATCACCACCAGCAGCTGGAACCTCCCGCCGCCGCCTCCGAGCTCCTTCTCGGCGGCTTCAACAGCGACTGCGACTTCCTCCTACTCCCGGAGTCGTCTCCTCCCTTTGACACTCTTTTCGACTCCTCCTCCTCCGGCGGCGGCGACTTTTTCTCCGTCCCGCCGCAGGAGCTCGAGCCCCACCCAAAACGCCAGAAGCTCCACCACGACTGCGGCGGCATTACCCAGAACGCCTTCGGCGTCTTCATCCCAAACCCTCCTCTGCTTCGAGAGTTCGAGCCGCCGCCTCCGCCGGAGCTCCCGCCGTTTCCGGCGCACGGCGGCTTGGAGGAGGCGGAGAGGAAGAGGGAGGGCCCCGCGGGGAAGACGCTGTCGCCGCAGAGCATCGCGGCGAGGGAGAGGAGGAGGAGGATAACGGAGAAGACGCACGAGTTGGGAAAGCTGATTCCCGGCGGCCAGAAGATGAACACCGCCGAGATGTTTCAGGCGGCTTACAACTACATCAAGTTCATGCAAGCCCAAGTTTCTGTGCTTCAGTCTTGCATGTCGCTGTCGCAGGTTAGCAATTATTGTTTGTTTATTAATTTTCATTAATTAACGAATTCATTAGGCTTATGTTAATGATCATGTTATACATGATTATCATCGCAAGAGTACAGTGCTCTTTGCTTGGCAGTTACATTATGATTATTATTAACGTTTTAGCAGAACAAAATTTACACCATTTAAATGGAGCTAAAATAGTTCAGGTTTTTCCCTCTTATTTAAATTTCTATATCTTAATTTAGCTAATAAACGTGTATTTATACTCCCACCTCTATTCTTTTTTTTTATATTTTTCAATATTTCCTAAACTTCTCCTTTAACTAGAGTTGTAAGAAGCTCACTTTCCAAAATTAATAGAGAAATTTAGCAGGTTTAAGCCCTAGTAGAGACAGAAGCATTAAGTCATTGTGCATTTTTTGATTTAAAAAAATATAAACAGATACTCCATTTGTCCACCATAGATCTTCCCGGATACTATTCACAGGGTCAAACTTTACTCACTTTGTTTGTTTATTTTTACAAGTCATTTCGTAAAATAATATAGTCTTGTCACCTCTAGTTTTGTAGAACTGTTCATGTAGTTTATTACGATATAAATTTTATTTTATAATTTTACTCCTATAAACAATTAAATTGAATAGAAAATAAAGTCGGTCAAATTTCGTAACGCGCAATGGAAAAATCTTAGGTGGATGTAGGGAGTATTATATTGTAACCGAGTCTATTGATGGGACATGGAGAATGTTTCGAAAAAAAGAAAGTGAGAGTTTTATTAAGTGATACACATATATACACTCATGCATGGACGGTTACAGATATATAGTAGTAATATATATACTCCATATATAATATTATGCTGTTAATTTAATAATTAGTTTATCATGTATATATATTCCTTATATTATTATTTCAATTTAATGAATTTGATGATGAGTCTAGTTATTCATTCTTTTAATCTAAGTATGAAATTATTAATTTATTGATTATGTTGCAGGAAAATGGTGAGATAATTATAAATGAAGACATGGAGAGACTTGTTGGATGTACGTTGGTTCAAGAGAAGTTATACTCCAAGGACAAGTGTTTGGTTCCAGAAAAGCTCATTCTCTCTCTGCCTGATTCCCATGGCTTATTGGAATCTACCAACCAATTAAATTAATTTATTAATTAGGATTCTGATTTTATCAAATTAAATGTTTTGTTTAATTTGTTTTTGTTTTGATAGCTAATTTGTAGTGTGCTACCGCATGTTTTTTTGGGTAGCAAGCTAAGCTAGTCATTAGTTAGTTTTTGATTTTTAATTCCTTATTGTTTGTAGTTAATTTTACTCTTAGACATTACTGTGAATGTTTTACCCCACACATTACTAAATAAAGGCATTAAAGGGTAATTATTGTTTAATTTCCGATTAGATGAATCAGTTACTTTTGTTTTTGGTATATTGTACGTTCTAGAGTGGATTTTGATTTTGATCTTTTTGCGGACGGATGGTTTTCTATACAAATTTATTTGCTTGAAATAGATAATTAGATGATAAGTTGTGACACCGCATTAGAAGAATCAAAACCATCAACAAGTTACAAGATGTAAAGATTATTGGATAATTAATGTGTCTAGATTTAGATTTACTAATCCTTCTGTTCATCTCAAATTAATTTTTTAGCCCACCAACTATAGATGTACAAATAACAATAGTAAGAACAACAATACTAGCTCCATCTGTCCCACAAAACTCTTCTCTTTTCCTTTTTCATCCGTCCCAAAAACTACTTCTCTTTTCCTATTAAAAAGTCACTTTTATCCATATTAATTCTTAACATATTTATCATATCACACTTTTTCTCTATTAATCCACTCATCACATCCCATTTTATTCATCACATCAAAGAACATTTTTGGAAAGTCAATACTAAAATACACTCTCCTTAAATTCTTTAAGTGTCAAAATGAGAAATTTTTTAAGGGACGGAGGGAGTAAAATTCTTAGAAATGTGGTCTCACTAAAGCTTTTTTAATAGCTTGATTTAGTTTGGACCTACAATAGAGGTTTTACCTCATATTTATAGTTTGTACGGAGTATATATATTGCGACATTACGTGACATGTAATCATTGCACGAGTTTCTCACCATGATTGATCTAACGTGCATCAATTATGATCAGGCATCAACGATCCGTGAAATTGAGTGTACATGGCCTCATCAACTCATCCAAGCCCGGACCCAATCTCCCGTATAACTCTTCCTTTGGCCCAGTACTTTATACCAAAGACGTGATTACCCATCGGGCCGATCTCTATATTAATTAGGCCCGATATCCATCACTTCCAAATCTTCTATCTCACAAATATTGCGTAAAATCGCACTCCAAACATATAGAGCAAAAAAAACGAGCATAAAGTTAAACTCGATGTTGCACGCAATTTTTTCGTGACGGACCTTTTAGTCCATTGTAATTCGTTAATTTTTAGAATTTTTATTTATAGAAATTAGAAAACGTTATATAGTTTACAATATTGCCAATATTTTTATATATATAGAGTAAATCTCAACCACATGATTTTATTTTTTTTAATGCTCCGTAATATTACTCCTAGTCAGTAGTATTTACCACTGTACCCCTAATTTTATGTGGACCGAGTTTGATAGCACTTAGAGTAAAAAGGGGATCATGGTATGGCACCACTTTGACTCTTTCGGGGTTTTTTGCTCCATCTTTAGTTAATTTTTCATAAGTTTTAGCTAGAATTATGGAGGACACTTACATCTTTTATACTCCCTCATCTGAATACTTGTCTACTTTTGGATTTTTTTGGTCAAAATCGATAAATTTTGACCTCAAATTAAATAAATTGATATTAGATATTGAAACAAAAATAATTTTATTTAATTTATTATATTAAATATTTTCAATATTTTATTTTATCTAATTAATAAAAAATATACTCCCTCCGGCTTAAAATTTTCTTCCCAGAGCACTATTCCAACTTCACGGGAATTTATATTTATTTGTGTTTTTTCATGGCCTATATGATAAAATAAAATATTCTTGTCACCACTTATTTTGTTGAACTTTTGATGTAGTTTTTAAATATGTATGTTTTATTTTTTATTTCTATACCAATATTTAAATAAAATAGATTGAAAAAACTTGAGATTTTTCTTCGTTTTGCGCAACGGGAAGAAAGATATAGGACGGAGGGAGTATATTTTATTTTACTATAGGTCAAAGGTTAAAAATAATTGATTAAAAAAATTAAAATTGGACAATACTTAGGGACGGAGGTAGTATATACGAACATACCATGTCACTTTCTTTTATTGAACTGTTTAAGTTTAATTGACTATAAAATCAAAATTATAAAGTATAAATGAGTATTATAAGAGTATGTGTTTGTTTTTTCTTTAATATCTGATTTCTTCCGAATTTTTAATTATTGTTTTGATTGCAAAGAATAGAGTTTTTTAATCTTGAATGTTTAAATCATTTAACTCCCGCGTGTTATACAAAAAAGCTTTATGATGAATAAAGTGGGATACATGGTTTTTGTGGACTTGTTTAACAAAATAAATGTTGTACCAAGGTAAGAGTGATAGAAAAAGTTAAAGAGATTGTATCAACCCCCATTCAATTCGAATCAATTAATTCCGTGTACCAAATAGATCCTAATGGAAAATACTTAAGTTTTTATGTAGCATAACTAAAGTCACGTGCAGTAAGGATTATGAAACGAAATCTCGCACTTCCTTTATTCATTTTTACGTGCAAAACCTCGGTCATCTTTTGCAAATTTTTTTACTATAAATTGGTATAGAAATTGATGAAATAATATAATCTAGGTCTAAGAAATGATTGGACCGGTCTCTTAGAAAAGCCCAATAGAGAAACTTAAACCCTGGGCTTCTATTATGCTATATAATGGGGCAAAGCCAAGAAGAAAGGTGAGCCTTCCTCTACGATGTACGATACACATACTATATTCCCTCAATTGGTCATCTTCTCCAAGTCTATAGAGCTTCGAACTTCATCAATGGCTATCACAACAAAATAAATGTGTTGATATTATATTTAAATAAGAATTTAATGTTTTTTCTCCGTATTTTATGGTCAAAGGTTAAACATTGTTTCAAAAATTAAAAATTTAAAACAAAAAAAAAATACTCCGTATGAGACAAAAAGAATACACACGTAGGAGTTCATGGAGGGACGGGGAGCGGAGGAGTATCACGTAGGGAGTTCATATCTTTATTCAAGTTTATTACACATCTTACATACTCGGTGTGTGTGTATATTTATTTATTTAATATCCGAGTTGAAATTTTATTTCCGTTTCCAGAGGCAATCTTTTTCAATTCCTGCTAAAGTAAAGAGCCGCCGCCGCTTGACGATCACGGACGCCGCCGCGAAGTCTAGAGGAGGTCAAGACGGCGCGTTGATTGGTGCCGTAGAGCGATGGCTCAGGCGGCGGAGCGAGCACTGTTAGGCTTTTGGTTCCCCCGTTTTGCTTCCTCATCATCTTCATGCTCATCATTTTCTCTCCTATTTCATTGAGCATCTTCATCTTTTTCAAAGCTTTTTTCATTCTCTTCTTCTCCTACAAATACGATTACACACACACAAATTAACGAAGAGTTAATAATGGAATGACATTGATGTCATTCCATTATTATTTGACATGTGGACTATTTTAACCAGTAAAAGACAATCCAATCAGCCAATAAGCTAATGGCAAGTAACGAAATGGAATTGCACACGTCGACGTGATACATTTCAACCAATAAAAGACAATCCAATCAGCGTGTGACAAGTGAGTGGAGTGGCATCTCATGCAGTGACAAGTCAATATTTTTATCAATTTTTATGATTTTTTAATGCATTTTAATTATTAAAAATTATTTCATTTATCTTTTTTTAAATAGACGTACTCCTTTATTAAAAAAATTATTTCTTCTACAAAAAAATAAAAAAAATTAAAAAAAAAACTGGAAGATGCCTTGCGCCTCACACGCTTGGCGTGGAGGAAAGCTGAAGCCTCGCGAGGCAATTTATGCAATGAGCTGATGTGGCACAGCGAGGCGAGGAAATGCCTCGCCGCTGCCCATGCTCTTAATCCTCTCACCCTAAATTTTCTAATCTTTTAATTCATTCGCTATTATAAAATAAACTTTACATATTCTTTTAAATAAATTACAACAAAATAATTATTTTTTTTTGAACAAAATTCTTATTCGGTAAATTCAATTCAGAATAAAGTCTAGATGTTCCCAAACAGTGCATTGTTCGTTAATGTTTACCAAATTTTCCTTATGTTTAACCAAAATATATACTTGGTATTTACTTATATACACCGATCCCTCTGTCTAAAAACTTTCGCATTACGCGTTACGATGTTTGATTTGAATTTAATTTCAAATTTTTTTTATATGAAAAATGATGTGAAATTAAAAAAATAAAAATTACATACTACCTCATGGCTCCATTCCAAAGCAATTTCTCAGTTTTGATTTTTTGCAATCGAAATTGTTAAACTTTAATCATTAATTAAATAAAATCTATATTATATTAGATATTGATGCAACAATAACTTTATTAGATTTATCTTCTAAAATACTTTTAAAAAGTTTCTTTATCTAATTAATATGGCATATCATGTAATTTTTATTTAATTATAAGTCAAACATCATTCTAGATTGACTATAAAAAGTTAAAATTGGACAAACACTCTAGAATAAAGGTAGTATTCAAAAACTACATCAAAAAAATGTACAAAATTACATGTGGCATGAGCACATGAATATATTATTTTATCAAATATATATGAAATGAAAATACACCAACAATATGAATAAAATTTGATAATGTGAATAATGAATTAGAATATAATTTTAGGCGGTAAAAGTCCATCCAAGAAAGATTTTTTCGCTGGGATTAAGAGAGTAGTTTTGAATTAATATACGGTAATTCTTTAACGTTTATTCATGTACACAACAATTACTGACGTTTAAGAAAATCGTGAAAAAACAAAGTATTTCTTTTCTTAGGTACAAATCTATTTCCCTTGTTCCATTATGGGTTGGAAAACATGATTTGGCCGGGTTATATATGTAAATGTTTTAGCAATTGTAGCATAACTCTTAACAACAATTAACATACTCTTTCCGTAATTTCCGTCTCAGATTAATTTTTTGGAATCAAATAAGATGAACTTTGAGTTTCAATTATATAAAAACTGTAATGTGAATTTATATAAAAATAATTTTTCTAAGAGAAGTTGAAGTTCAAAATTTATCTTGTTTGACTCAAAAAAGTTGATCAAACTGGACAAATGCAGACGGGCACTGGTAGTATTAATGTGTTACATAAGTGACTTACTTTCTTCTTCTTCTTCTCCTCTGTGGTGTCGTTATCACTGTCGTCGTCGTCACTACTACTGGCACTGCTAGGGAGGCTAGGTAAGCTGAGGCTCTCGCTATCACTCTCACTTTCACTATCACTGCTGTTGCTGTTGTTGCTCCGGGGCTTATTAGGTTTGACCGGAACACTAGCAACAACGGCGACGGGTTCCCTCTTCATTTCTGGAAGAGGAATCCGAGGTAGGAGGTCTGGAAAGCTAGGCAGATGACGAGGAAACGGCCGGTCAAACACGGTCGTCCTCTGCCGCCCTGCTAGTGATCCTATTGCTCCAGCTCCCGCTCCAGCCGCCGCTAACCCAAGGCCCGCCGCCGCTAGTCCTCCTACTGCCGATGGTATGAAAGGGAGAAATAAGAATGCCATAGTACGGAGTGTAGTATCTGAGTTCGTTGGGTTGTGTGTACGGGGCGTCTCATTTTTATACCCCACTACTCCGCATTATTTATAGCCACTTTCTTATTCCAAATCCTTTCTCTTCAATTTTTTTAGTTTGACTTACCACTAAAATTAAGAAAAATTAAAAATTGTAAAGACTTTTCATATGTTATCTTTAATGTAATGGAATAAAATAAATATTATAGATTAAAAGTAAGGGTATAATTGTGCATTCACTAAAAGTTTTTTGCTAAAATGAAAAACAGGAAAGAAACTTTTGGACAACCTAAAAAAAGTGATAAAAAAATTAATGGACGGTGGAAGTACTATCTTATTTATTTCTTCCAACTTTTTCTTCTATTTTTTTAAACGACTTACTAGTAAAAAATAATTATGTGAATTTTTCATATTTCCTCCATCTTTTAAATTTTTTCAAACAAGTAAAAAGACGGTCCTTAAAATTATAAAATTTTTTATATTATTTTCAAATTTTGTATTTACTTTATACAGAGTAATAAGATATGACATGCTAGCTATGTGTGATAGATGATTTATAATTTGAAAATAATATCAAAATTAATTATTTTTAGGGCACACCTTTTTCATCTTTGAAAAATTTTATGGAACATAGGTGATTGATACTCTGAAGATAGGGTATCCAGTCGTTGTATAACATTAGTCAGGCCAGTTCAGTCTGTTGGACCAGCTCATTAGTCATATATTGATTACTTAATTATTTAGGGGTGCTTGTGTTTGTTGGGCCAGCCCATTAGTCTTTGTACATGAACCAAAACCTAACCCCGTCTCCTATTTATACCCCTCTTCTTAGAAGTGGAGAGGACATTCTCAATACACACTCCACTCTTCTTCTTCATACATTTCTTCTTCTTCTATCCATAGATTCACAAATTTATCAATGGTGATCGATATCGTTGAGAGCTTTGAACGCATCAAGCTTGCTCTCTTCAATTTTTTCTTTTGATCGCTTTTCAAATTTATGAACAATTTTCTTTATCACGGCCATCTTTTTTTGTTATCATTTTCCAAATTTATTATTTTCCTAATTTGGGAAATCATAACTTAGCTTAGATCGAGTGGTTCATTCTCAAATTCGGTGGCAAACATGGATCTGTACCATAATTTTCTAATTTTATATTTCCTTTATAGTAAGATAAGACATGCTAGTTGTGTGTGATAGATGACTCATAATTTGAAACTAAGAGCGGATCGGGTGGATTGGTTTTTCATAGAGTCGGGCAAAAAATTGTCATCTCGAAATTTAAGAAATACTCCATAGATAATTATGTGATTGATAACTTTAAAAATATGAAAAAGTGAGAATGAGCTTATTGAGTCACACAAATATAACTAAATACTTTGAGACCATACTCGTTGGACATATAAAAAATAAAAAGTGATAAAATTTGAAACGAATGGAGCATAACTTATTTTAATATTGAAAATATAAAATTTCAAAAATATATAATATTTTTCAGCTCTTTTCAATTTTTCTAATTTCTTCTAGAGTAGGATGATGAAAAAATTTGAAAGAGTTAAAAGAAATCAAAGAGTTTTAAAATCTGAAAGGAGTTAAAAATGAAAAAGAGTTGGGAAAACATGAAGATGTTTGGAAAATTAGAAAATGTCAGAAAACATGGGAAGAGTTGTTTTAAATCATACTCCCTCCGTCCCACTATATTTGTCCACTTTCATTTTTGCACACCATCCAATACACTTCTTTAATCCATTTTATCTTGTAATTTATATATTAAAAAATTATAGAAATTATATATTAATAATATATATGTTAAGACAAATCAAATAAGATCACACATGACTATATTTAGGCTTACACATTGAGAGAATTTGATGAGTCAAAGTGCTTAGATGAACAGTTCCAGAAGTCAAAAGTGGACGAATATAGTGGGACAGAGGGAGTATTTAGTAAAGAAATCACTCAAAGTATAAGCATAATATATAAAAAAATTGTCATTTACTCCTAATTATTTCAAAAATTGTGCGGGTTCCTCCTAAACTTTAAAAAATACCAATGCCCCTTGAAATTTTAAAAAATGATCCTTCTGTGCCGGATTTGAGAATGCGTTGATTAAATGCCCATCAATATATGTTGTGACTTGAAGAAAATGTCATAGATTAATGAAGAATTATTGATCGATTGATAACAAGCTTTATTGACTGATATCCAGCCTTCAAATTTGATTACCGAAGACCAAATCAAAAATAATTGTCTAAAATTTAAAGAAGTTAAAAATGTAAAAGATAATGTTTGAGAGAGCATATTACAGAACTAACATGTGATTTAGTTGATTGACTTGATTCTATATTAACAAACTTGTAAATAAACCATTTATACATCATCTTTGAAAATTCTGAGAATTTTGGTATAAATTGTAAAATTCTAAGTGGAATTAGTACAGAGAACTAGAGAAGAAATTGGCTTTGCCCTCCACGGTCGTGCTCGCGCAGAGCTTCGATCCATCAGGCTATGTGGCCCCGTCTTCAATTCCACAGGTTTACAACCCTAATCCAGGTATATATCCTCACTCTTACTTTAATGCTCAGTGTGGCCTTTTCTCTATGTTGCTTGATCGATAAAGCTTACGATATTGCAAGAGATAGTGAATTCAATTGGTTGTTAATTTTATTCATTGTAAATTGGTTCAATTCAATTGATTTTGTTCAGATCTGAATTTTCTGGTCTAATTTAAACTGATATGATATGTTTCTGATCTGAATCATGTGAATTTTTTTTATGTCTCATATGATTTGATTCCAATAAGAATAATAGTACGGAGTAATAAAATGCGATGAGAATTTTCTGTGTTGATCAACATCTAAAATCTAACTTAACCCAAGGTACAAGCATCCCAAGTCAGATTAATTGAAGACATTTCGACCAGTAAATCAATTAAAAACCGATCATTTAATTGCACACAATGGGTTCTGATTCTTTGAGTGTCAAAATCACTCACTTAAAGGTGTGTTTGGTCATGACTCATGAGAGGAATTATATACCTTTGTATAATTGTAGAATAAATTCTTTTTGGATATGCATATTTATATGTTGTTAGTGTCACGAATAAGATTCACTAATGGTTCGCCGTGAATCATCAGCAAATCTTTTCATTTTAATGCTTTATTTTCCTGTTTTATTTTTTTCTAAAATGGTTATCCATTTACCGCATTCATTAAACTAACAATTATGAAATGCCAAAGGTATCCCTAATGGTTATTTTCACTTCAAATTGTTCTTCAAGTGCACTATTTATACGGGAAAACTTTATTCACTTTATTTGATTATTTTCACTGCCCGTTTCATTATATAATATAATGTCACCTCTTGTTTTGTGGATTTTTAAGCAATTTATTAAATATGTAAATTTTATTTCTGAATAGAAAATAATGTCAGTCAAGCCCAGTAACGCGTAATAAGAGAAATAAATTGAGACGGAGGGAGTATAAATTAGCTCAAGACGAGATTCAGAGGCGTGAGAGTTTGGGACTTCGTGGTCACAAAAATGTGGATCCACCTATGCGTTGGGGTAAAGTGAACGTAATTGTATATTTTTTTGAATTTCTGTTTACTTGCATTTTAGTAATTTAAGTTGAAACCTATAAGGCTACAGGCCACAATTTTTGTTCTTAGTTAGACCTCCCGCGTGACCATATCCCCAGCATGGAGGTGATTAAATTATAATGAGTTATATAGTGTTTTTAATGGTTGATCAGTTCTATAAAAATTCTCAAAAATTATGCAAATGATGCTAAAAGGAGAAAAAAGCTCATATTATGCACTTAAGCTTTCGTTCTGTATAACTTATTTTTTCAGCTTATTACTTATTCTTCTTAAAATCATATTTGATCCAATCAAGATCAAATCAAACTAGATTAGAAACAGCTTTAAATATAACTATATTGAGATCAGGCAAATCATATCTATATAGATCAGATTAAAGATCTTCAAAAAATCAGATCAGATCTAATCAAATTAGGCGTACAGAACGTAGCCTTAATCTTTGTTTTAATATTGACGATTATATGACAAATAGAGAGGTATGTAAATAAGTATCTAAGTACTTATACTCTTTGTTTTTCACTTCTCTATTTTTTGGATGTTTGAAAAGTTAGTTATTTTAATACATGCTTCATATTCTCTTTGGATGTTCAAATAGATTCCTTGGACTTTGTAATTGTTAGTCCTTAGTCCTATAACTGGCCAAAATTTTAACTCTTGATGCATGTTTTGGACTTTGTCTTGATGATGATTTCAATTACATTTTCTGTTTTTTTTTTCAGAGCAACAATATGGGTTTGTTATCCATGAATCAGTCAATTGGCTGCATACTGTGTTGCAATTATGGTACAGCAATCACTCCCAACATTGTCAATATGTGTGTGAATTGACTCCCTTTGGTGATCAGTTCACTGAAGGAATGATGCCATGTTTACCGTGAATACTCATCTTGGTCATCCCTTAAAGCCTGGGCCTGGGGATTATGCACTTGGTTATGATCTTCAGGGTGCCAATTTTAATAAGGAAGAAGCAGAACATTGCAAAGCTTCACTCCCAGGTGTTGTTCTAATAAAAAAGAAGTCTGATAAAAAGGAGCGAAAGAATCTCCGCACTGCTTTAATAGTGATTTAGAACGAACCAATTCTGTATACAAACAGTTCCTGAGATACTTAGAGGTCAACCCAGAATCAAGATATAAATTCTCGTTAATCAAGATAATGGGAATGTATAATGACTATAATCTAGGTCTTCTGCATATTTTAAATATATACGGAGTATTATAAAAATGTAATATTTCAAAACTATATTTCAAAATGAACTTATTCATATTAATTTTATAAAGTTGGCATTTTTTGTAATTCAATGTACTTTTTTCATAATTTGTTAAGTATTTTAAAAAGTTGGCCTTAAAAGTGAAAATGAACAGATTTAAAAAGGATGGAGGAGTATAATTTTTGTTCTTTAAATTATTCACATTCTCTGTGGTTCATATTTTATTACTCCGTATTTCACTGGTCTCGCTCCATTTTAGCGATTGTCTCCTTTTACCTTATTGTTTGTTCTACAGCTTTTGTCACATATCATAACTAGTCATTTTTTTTAAACTTACTGATATTCTTACTTTATCTTACTAATTAAATTAGTATCAACTAGGGTTGTGCATTATTTGCTCCAAATCAAGTGACCAAAAGAATGGTCAAAACCGTTTGGTTCCAATTCGGTCCGGTCTCTGGTCATCCGGTCTCTGGTCCATCATTTTCCCCTATTCAGTTTCCGGTCCGAACCCGCTGGGACCGGTGGACCCATTAGAGGACCGGTTAATTGGGCTTATGTTTTAGTGATTTAGTCTATGGGCTTTACCTAAGTTACCATGCCCTTTACCAGGTGCCCGCTTTCTCTCAAACCCAGAGCACTGAACCCAACGGTGAACCCTATTTCCTCATCGTCTTCGCCTACTCGCCACGGCCACCATTGAAGAATATCAACAGTCGTTCGTCCACCATTGAAGAACATACAGACAGGTATGTGTTCTCTTTCGATTCTTGCATAGTAGACAGTGGCCAAGACTTCAATTTATTATAGTTTTTTATTATTCTTTTCCACCATTGAAGCCTCCACTTTTTTTGGATTCTTGTGCACTGGTCATGCCTTCAATTTTTTTTGGGACTTTGGTTCCGAATTTACAATTTGTGAATTATATTATTGAAAATTTACAATACAACCTTTTTTCAATATCTTTTTTAGTTGGTGTAGAATTTTAACTTAATAGCTCGGTGCTTATAAGCGGGTCAAAATTGCTTATAAATAATTTTTAATTTGTAAGTTATCTGACGACATATTTCTCTGAGGTTATAAGTCAAAAAAATTAAAGTCTTACCTACTTATTTTTAAATCAATTTTTTCATTTCTCCGTTTTGACTAGATTATTTACAAAATTGTCCATAAACTTTTGTGAATATTCCCTAATGAATTATCCTCCGTTTAAATCATTTTACTTTCATAAAAGAATATTTAACTTATAAGCAACTTATAAAATAAAATTGCTTATCAGTAATATGTCAATAAGCACCTGCACCACCCTCTTAGTAATTTCCTTTTGAGTTATACATTTGTGGATTGTCTCATAATTTTTTGTTTGGATTGTATGTGTGTTGCTTCTATGGATTATAGAGTATATTTGTTCCCACTTGAAATCCTTAACCCTAGTGCCTTGTAGCCATGGATGAATTATATTTTTTTAAACTTTTCATTTAATTATTGACATCCCAATTCTTGATATGGATTATGGAGCATAGGAGTATATTGTTTATCCCAATTCTTTTGATTTTCAACCAAACTTGGCCAAAAACAATCATACTGCCAATCTTCCAAATTTTAAACATACTGCCTCCCTTGTTTGGTCTATATTCGGATCCAGTCTTATGCTTAGTCAGTCCTGTATTTGGTCCATTCTTCTGCTCTTATTCGGTTCGGTCCCGGTCAAATCTGAGTTTAGATCGATACTTTGTGTCACACCTTCAAGTCTCAGAAAAAGTGGGATAAAGCGAATATTTATTTGTAAACAACGTAGTTATGTGGAAAATTGAGGCAATATATAATCTAATCTATGTAACTTACAAAGATTTGAGTTTGTAAAAACTAAGTTGAGTGGTTACAACTCAATGATACATGCACATATATAATGTATCAATATTATTTCTGAATTGTAAGTTGGGGCACACACGCCCGCTCTTTAATCTCTTACATACATGACAAGGATGACATCACCAACTATATATAAACACACGGCCATTTCTCAACCTGCCTAATTCGACTCATTTCCAAAAATTGGAGCAGAGAGAAAGCCCAACTTAGAGAGAGAAAGAGAAGACAGTTGGAGTTGATCACGAGAAGAATTGGAGGAGGAAGATCAGATTAATGCAATTGCTGATGAAGGTTGGTTAAGATAAATTAATTGCCTCTGATATTCAATTTTCCTAATCTGTTTTCTCAACTCATATTTCATAATCAGTTTAATTTCATCATTGATTTGGAAGTGGTTACATTGATTGATATGAGAATATTTAATATCTTCATTAGCAAGTTAGTCGGCCAGTGTCGATTTTGAAGTATTTTAATTATGAGACTGATTGTCTTCATTTTGCATTGTTGATTGATTATAGTGGAATTTCATCATTATACTAGACTAATAATAGGTTGGTCTAATACATTCTCTTGATTAGCATAGCAAATTGACCAAGAATGTCATTTCAATTTGAAAATTTTAGACATATCAAAAACATACTTTGTAAGTTTCATCATTAACTTGGAATTGAAGTGGTTGGTTACGTTGATTGACATGATATTACTTAATATCTTCATTGGCAAGTTAGCCGGCCAGTATAGATTTTGAATCATTCTAATTGATATTGAAGTATTCTAATTATGAGACCAAATTGTTCTAAGTATGTGATGTAATTTGATGGAGTCAAGTTTGTTTTGTTTTATTGGTGCTAGAGTTTGTATTAACTTGTGTTAAATTTGATGATTTAGATTTTTAAATTATTATGTTTACAGTCATGGAATATTATTTTGAGCTATATTCTAGTGACAACGATAGATTAAGCAATGACAAGGAGTCAAGTTCGTTGTTTTCTTTGTTTTCCTTCATTGGTGTTGGAGTTTGTATTAATTTATGATAATTATGATTTAGATTTTTAATTTATGTTTGCAGAAGTTAAGAAGTTTTTTCAAGATTTCTACAGTGATAACAATGGGTGTTTAGTAGCAATGATTTCATTAATAAGATGAACTACCACATTAAAAAGTGTTTCTTATGTTTGTTAAAGTGTATCCTTTTAGGAGAAGATGAGACAAAGCTCATCCGTCAAGCAAGGATGGCTGCCTGCAGACTCTAGTGGCTGTTTTGCCCCGCAAACATAACCTATTGTAATTGGTTTAAGATGGCAATCGGGACTTGAGTTGCATTTCTTTGTGGGTTGATTTTGCTTTTACCCTCCCAAAGACATGATGTTGGGGGTAATGCAAGGTTGATTTATAAGAGGATTCTGATGCATGATGTAAGATATGTAAAAAGATGTGGTCACATTTTGATTAAATTCAACCTTGCAAAAGCTGAGTTCGGATACTATGTCAGTAAATGAGGAAGAGTTGATTATAAGACGACGATGCTGCCTCGTATGGTTTGCGTAGTGAATGTTCTATGTCATTTGCTGAAAGTGGATGACAAGACTGTCATTGAGGGTGTATGGAGATCCTTCCCGAACTTTGTTATGAAGATTAAACACGCCTCAATGCTAGGACACTGCAATCAGTGAGTTCAATAAGGGTGAAGGCTTTTGTTAAAGGAGGTATGTACATATGTGAGAGGATTACTGTGATTCTTGGAGTGAATTTAGATTGTTCGTTGTCGATTGATGATGATATTAACCAAGAAAGTGTTACTTCGTGTTTCTCCTAGTACGTCTTTATTAAGAAGGTGATGATCTACTCTTTTCTCCATAAACCAGTGTTGAAGAAGGCCAACACAAGGTGTGCCCAACAATTCAATGGCATGATCTGCTCTTGTTATAAGGCAATGCCATTGAATTGTTGGGTACATCTTGTGTTGTCCTCCTTCAACGCTGGTCTTTGAAGAAAAGAGTAGACCATCACTTTCTTAATAAAGACGTACTGGGAGAAACACGAATTAACACTCTCTTGGTTGATATCATCATCAATCGACAACGAACAGTCTAAATTCACTCCAAGAATTACAGTAATCCTAACACACCTCCTTCAACAAAAGCCTTCTCCCTTATTGAACTCACTGATTGCATGATGTAAGACAGGATGTTGGGGGTAATGCAAGAATGATTTATAAGAGGATTTTCATGCATGATGTAAGATATGTAAAAAGATGTGGCCACATTTTGATTAAACTCAACCTTGCAAAAGTTGAGTTCGAATACTATGTTAGTGAATGGGGAAAAGTTGATTATAAGACGACGATGCTACCTCGTATGGTTTGCGGAGTGAATGTCATTTGCTGAAAGTGTCCTAGTATTGAGGCTACTTTCAGCAAATGACACTTTCAGCAAATGACATTCACTCCACAAACTATACGAGGCAGCATCGTCGTCTTATAATCAACTCTTCCCCATTTACTGGCATAGCATTCGCACTCAGCTTTTGCAAGAGTGAGTGTAATCAAAATGTGGCCACATCTTTTTACATATCTTACATCATGCATGAGAATCCTCTTATAAATCAACCTTGCATTATCCCCAACATCCTGTGTTTAGGAGGGTAAGAGCAAAATCAACCCACAAAGAAATGCAACTCAAGTCCTGATTGCCATCTTAAACCAATTACAACAGGTTATGTTTGCGAGGCAAAACAGCCACTAGAGTCTGCAGGCAGCCATCCTTGCTTGACAGATGAGCTTTGTCTCATCTTCTCCCAGAAGGATACACATCAGCAAGCATAAGAAACATTTTTGAATGTGGTGGTTCATCTGATCAATGAAATCATTGCTGCTAAACACCCATTGTTATCACTGTAGAGATGTTGAAAAAACTTCTTAACTTGTGCAAACATAAATTAAAAATCTAAATCATAATTATCATAAATTAATACAAACTCCAACACCAATGAAGGAAAACAACGAACTCGACTCCGTGTCATTGCTTGATCTATCGTTGTCACTAGAGTATAGCTCAAAATAATATTCCATGACTGTAAACATAATAATTTAAAAATCTGAATCATCATATTTAACACAAGTTAATACAAACTCCAGCACCAATAAAAGAAAACAAACTTGACTCCATCAAATCACAACACATATTTAGAACAATTTGGTCTCATAATTAGAATACTTCAATATCAATTAGAATGATTAAAAATCTATACTGGCCGGCTAACTTGCCAATGAAGATATTAAGTAATATCATGTCAATCAACGTAACCAACCACTTCAATTCCAAGTTAATGATGAAACTTACAAAGTTTGTTTTCGATATGTCTAAAATTTTCAAATTGAAATGACATTCTTGATCAATTTGCCATGCTAATCAAGAGAATGTATTAGACCAACCTATTATTAGTCTAGTATAATGATGAAATTCCACTATAATCAATCAACAATGCAAAATGAAGACAATCAGTCTCATAATTAAAATACTTCAAAATCAACACTGACCGACTAACTTGCTAATGAAGATATTAAATATTCTCATATCAATCAATGTAACCACTTCCAAATCAATGATGAAATTAAACTGATTACGAAATATGAGTTGAGAAAACAGATTAGGAAAATTGAATATCAGAGGCAATTAATTTATCTTAACCAACCTTCATCAGCAATTGCATTAATCTGATCTTCCTCCTCCAATTCTACTCGTGATCAACTCCAACTGTCTTCTCTTTCTCTCTGCTCCAATTTTTTTAAATGAGTCGAATTAGGCAGGTTGAGAAATGGCCGTGTGTTTATATATAGTTGGTGATGTCATCCTTGTCATGTATGTAAGAGATTAAAGAGCGGGCGTGTGTGCCCCAACTTACAATTCAGAAATAATATTGATACATTATATATGTGCATGTATCATTGAGTTGTAACCACTCAACTTAGTTTTTACAAACTCAAATCTTTGTAAGTTACATAGATTAGATTATATATTGCCTCAATTTTCCACATAACTACGTTGTTTACAAATAAATATTCGCTTTATCCCACTTTTTCTGAGACTTGAAGGTGTGACACAAAAGAAAAATAAGATACACCGTAGTATCGATCTAAACTCAGATTGGACCGGGACCGAACCGAATAAGAGCAGAAGAATGGACCAAATACTGGACTGACTAAGCATAAGACTGGATCGGTAAAAACTGAGCCGATCCAAACCAGCCCGAATATGGACCAAACAAGGGAGGCAGTATGTTCAAAATTTGGAAGATTGGCAGTTTGATTTTTTTGGCCAAGTTTGGTTGAAAATCAAAAGAATTGGGATAAACAATATACTCCTATGCTCCAGAATCCATATCAAGAATTGGGATGTCAATAATTAAATGAAAAGTTAAAAAAAAATATAATTCATCCATGGCTACAAGGCACTAGGGTTAAGGATTTCAAGTGGGAACAAATATACTCCATAATCCATAGAAACAACACACATATAATCCAAACACATAATTATGAGACAATCCACAAATGTATAACTCAAAAAGAAATTACTAAGAGGGTGGTGCAGGTGCTTTATAACAAATGCCTTCTCCCTGCCACACTTCCTTACTCTGCCTCATAAATTCACATTACACAATTATATTACATTTTTTAGGTGGGCAAAAATACCCACACTACATTGTTCCCAAACAATTTTTTTTTGAAGGCATTCCCAGCCAAACTTGTTATGGAGCCAAATCGAAAATTGAGATTTCAAATGGTTCTAGTAGATGATATGATACGTGTTCTAAAAAAATGAGAACTAAAAATACCTAAGTAGATTTTTGCCATTAAAATGTTAAAATTAATCAGTTAGTTACACTTTTACATTTGTTATTTTTCCCTCCGTAATTGTTTTAGTTTGTATGTTTTTGCAAGGCTTCAACCTATTACTCAAACTTGATCTTTTAATTTATTTTACAATTATAATTTCTCAAAACTTATTTCTTTTATTGGTATGCCAATCTTTTTTTACTTCTTTTTATTAGTTTTTTTCTAAAATACTTTGTTATAAAATTATTATTTTTTTTACTCTTAAAGCACTACGGTTTGGCAAGGCAGTGGTAGAAGTGACATGGTATTGTGTGATTTTGATTGTAAAATCAAACCGTATCAAACTGTTTGATTTATTATTCGTACGGAATAATAAAAGAATTATCAATTAGTGACCGTATCAAACTGTTTGATTTATTATTCGTACGGAATAATAAAAGAATTATCAATACACTTTGTAAATGTAACGGATAGTCACGGTCAAGTTAGTTGCGTCGCGCTTGCAAATGAACATGAACTTATAATTTAAAGATCGCCCATCTCTATTAGTATGATGACACTTGCCTCTTGGGAGAGGTGTTCAAAAACAAACCCGTGAGGGTTTGGTGCAGTGCTGACAATATCATACTAACGTAGAGTTAGGGTGGACCCAAGTAGTTCTAATAGGCTAAACATAAGCTTTACCGTGCCATTCAACGTAGGGGAGTCTTTAGCAAGCCATGTCTCTTGGGCTTCTGTTTGACAATGCGCGAAACACGAGTTGATGAAGTATCCTCTAGATGAAGCAGGGCCGAGTCCATCTAATGCCTTCAAAAACTCCAATCTAAACCCTGCAAAAAGGGCTCAAAAACCGGCGCAAATATTGTCCATAGCAAATTAAAAATAGAATTTAAAGTGGTGACAATGCAAGCTAGTAGTATATTAACCATGTAGTGTTTGAAGCTGAGCATCGGAGCACTTCTCGGAGTCAAGCTTACAGCTAAGCCATGTCCCCTGCCGGTCGGCAACATCAGGAACCAAAATGTTCCATATCTGAAGGCCAGCAAATTTTAGTACTCATAAACACCAACCTAGCATAATCATATGATATATATGTGAGTATGTCAACAAAAGAAATTAGTGTTTACCTGCCAGACATCATAAGCCGAATTGACTAGGAAAAGAGGTGTTTCGGTATATCGTGCCATGTTTTGAGGGAAAAAACACTGTAACAGAAGCAACAAGGGATATACGTATCGGCTTCAGATACTACTACACAACACACCACATGAAATCCCAAAATGAGTTTTCTTACCAAACCTGCCTTCATCTTTGATGTACATAAACTGGGCAAACTATTGGCTGATCCCTGAGAAAAAGCATCGAATTAAGGTTTTGGTTTTCCCTCATTAGAGGTAGGAAACATTTTGGGAAGAATACAGTGAACCTACATGAGTTGTGACAACGTCGTCATAGAACTGTTCAATGTGTGGGGTACGAGAAATATCTAACCTGTCCCACAAAAAGGTCACACCATTGTTTGTTTGTATTTTACTCCCTCTGTCACACTGGGAATTCCCAACCTGTGTTAAAGATTGGCAATTCCCAGCACGATGAAGGGAGTAGAATAGTAACAATGAGATGTAAGTGCGTTTATGCTAAGAAAGTAATCCTTACACATTGATAAAGTAGCCAGCATCTGCAAGACATTTTACTGTAGCACTCGGCGGGAGGAGGCCTTTAAACTTGTCACAATGCAATATAGAAGTTAATCCTCCGGCTGAACATCCAGACAATAAAGCCTGCACGGCGACATTTTTTTAGCCAAAACAAGTGAAATAATACATAGTTATATTCCAGAGAGAGACAGAGAGAGAGAGAGAGTACATTTTTTGCATCTTTCATTCCATTAGCTAATAATTCCTCTATCACAGCTACAAACACTCTTGCACCTCTGAAGTGAAGGTTGGTTTTCTGGCAATGCATAAAAGATCCATTCACATTCAGCATTTTAAATTGGTGGCAAGATTTCCTAAATGCATCAAATTCTTTTTGTTCAAATTATATACGAAAAAATATAAACAAATACGGAGCGTATAACTCTTGGGCTACTTTATGAAGAAACCATAACTCATTTACATAGCCGAACCAAATATGCTAAGAGAAAAAAAATCTACAAGAATTAATATTCTTACAGGATTCACTGCTTCAACATCACCAGTATAGGACGACCCGTCACAATATCTAACGTTGACTCGGTTCCAGTTGTAAAAGTCTGCAAGTTCGTGACATGATAATGAAAATGTTGGGTTTTATTTAATTTACATGAGCATCCATCACTAGAATCGACTACTTGCCCGGATTTCTTATGGCGAGGTCACTGAGAATCCCTTCAAAAGCAACCTGTTTTTCCATTCTTGTGGAAGATCCCAAATTAGTGTCTCTACGTTCGAGGCAAGTAGTGACATTATTGCACCATCCTCCTCCCTTTTAACATGCGAATGAGAAAAAACCCAAATAAACTATACGAAACAACCGAGGATTTTTTAGAGAAAAAAAAAGTAATTTTTACTATGTCAGAACGATATAATAAACGCCGAATTCTTCAATCCTCCCTTATCGTTTTGTGACCGGCATTGTGGTTTGGTTAGTTGAATATGAACCATTACAAATTTCAGCTAAAGTGGCATATTGAAGATGTGAGATTGAGGGTACAACCTCAAAATGAATTAACCAATTGTTAACTCCATCCCCAGATCCTCTGTCCAAATGGTATGCTGGTGCACTCCCATCCAAACATACTACATCATATATTGAACCAAAAAAAGAGGAAATTATGAAGTTTCATTAAGGGTCCATTTGGCACACGGAATTAACCGAATTGAAATTGAATTGGAAGTTGAAATTCTATGGAATTGATTTGGATGGAATTGAATTCTCCAATTTCAATTCATTTTTGGCACTACCAATTCCAAATCTACATATTTTTGTACTACCAAACACCAGAATAGGAAATATTGCCCCCAATTCCAATTCCATAATTTGAATTCCGTGTACCAAAAGGAGCCTAAAGAAAAGAACAATATAAGTGAATAATTTGAAGTTCATCACCTGCTCCTTTGCCCACAGCACCCTCAACAAAAGTGATATTTACCATGCAGCCTTTTGTTCTCATTAAAACAAGAAGCATAAAACACACCAATCCATATACCCATTTTTGGAGTTCCACCTTCACCATACTGCAAATTTCTAAGTTCTAACATGAACAATTCCATCAAGAAAAGATGGAAAAGAAAGACTTGAAAAAAAGATTAAGGCAAAAAAAATTTAAGTGTCATTTCTTTGTAGGATTTGATCCAAGTGTCCTCTCCCATCTTAAATTATAGAGGGAGCATTACAAAATGAAGATACGCACCTGATGAAGAAATTTTATTATCAGCTCCAGAAATTTTTAGGCTAAGGAAGTGTTTGTGTTTTTTTATTTCTTTTATTTTTTTTGGCTGAATTGCAGCTTTCCCACTAGTTTGCTCTCCTGGCTATGGAATAAAAAGAGGAATTCCTCTTTTCAAGATAAATAAATAAAGAGTTTGACTTTTCTAAGTCACAAACTTTGAGTTTCAATAGTTTTTAATTTGTATTGTACATTAGTTTCATATAATAAAATTGTGAAAGTTCTCAACTAGATAAATTTAATAAAAAAAAATTTTACAAATATACATTATAATTTTTGATTAATTTAAGCCTGACTTTGTTTAGATTTTAAAAAATTAAAATGGACAAATATAAAGGGAGTAAAAAGGAATTCCTTCTTGGTACGGACTATAAATTGGCTGGGAATTGTTAGGTGTGTGTGAGAGAGATTGGAGATATTGAATTGAATTATTATTTGTGGATTATTTGTGGCCTAATATGGGACAGTCAATAATGATACATACTTGTCCATCTATCTAGCACTCACTCTTTCGTGTGACACAGCACTTCCTTCCTACACTTTCTAGAAAACATAAGGCATCTCTTTTAAACCACCTATCATACTTTGAAATTTCAAAAATTATACAAATTTCTATGAACTTTAAAAATTGTATTAATATCTCATGAATTTTTAAAATGTTATATCAATGGGCTCTTTGTGTCAGATTTGAGAATGCATTAATCATACGTTTATCCAGTGCAAGTTTGGGTTAATCTAAAGTCATATATCACATGGGAAGACCCATATCGGGTGAGTGCAATAGTTCGCCTGGGAACATACCGGTTGCAAACACTGGAGGGGCAACCGGTAGAAAGGTCCTGGAATTCCCATTATCTAAGAAAATTCTACAAATAATTGTAATACTAGGCCAGACCTATTTCTGTTGTCAAGCAATCGAATTGATAAAATCCCATATTCTACCCGGTAGTAGCAGAAATGATGGGTCGAACCTATCCAAGGAGGGCTTCTTGGGTGGATCAAATCCACTCGGATAAGCCAACTGAGACACAGGCCCGGACCTGACACACTGGTTACTACACCGGTCTAGCTCAATATAAATAAAAAAAGAAAACCCGGAAGATGGGCACCGGATAAGGGGTATGCCTGCAAGAAGGCTGGACCTGGAAGAGGGTTCGAACCGTACTTACACGGACTCATGAAGTTTGACCTATATTGGGGAGTCAGCCAAAACAGTCAAACTGATTGGGAACTAAAAGATGCCCATTAAAAGAAATAGAAAAGGATCATTCATCGCAATGCATCCTACTCCGATCAGGTCGGATTCCCCCTTCTCAAGGAAGACTTGAATGGGAGGATGAGCTAAGGCCTTCCTGGGATAGTGGAAATAAAAGGGCCATTAAAAGACTTAATCACTCGGAAGAGGGGACCTTGGAAGAAGGGTGCATTTGAATCTTAGAGAGGGTTCGAAACCATTCGACATGGTTAAATCTCTACTATTCTTACCGGTTAATAATGTTTCAAGGATTTACTAAGTTACAGGTGCATTCACCTACAACTTACCGGTTACGTAACAAATAAAAATAAAAATAAAAAAAGGGAATACCCGATAGGGTATTAGTATAGAGAACTTCGAAAGTTCTTGAAGGCAATTTAGTCAACCGGTAAGGTCATGAAGAGTAGAACTACCGACCAAATCAAGTTGATCATCAAAAAAGAGATTCAAAGCACAAGTTGAAGTTCTACCGGGAGATGCTAATCAGATTCAAGTGGAAGATAAAGTTCAAAGAGGCGATTGAGTATGATACCAGATAAAGTTCCTACGAAGACATCCTAAGGAACAAAAGCAGAATATCAAGCAAGAATATTCAAAGGGCGAAGGTAACCGAGCAAAAAAATAAACATGACATTAATATTAAAATAAATGTTGCATGTTTACAAAATGCTCTGGACATCCCCAAGAAAATAGATAAGTTTTAAAATATTACAAATGTTAACCGGGCGCAGCCGGAGAGATCTAGCTTAAGGGGAAAGGGGGAGAAGGCTCTTCATCCGGGATGGGGGCCAGGCCGTATGATTTGGCGTTGAAGTCCGGATCCCGGTCAGCCAAAATTTCATGGGTTGCCTCCCGGTCCCTCTTCTGGCCTGACATGAAGCCAAAGGAGCCTACTGCAGTGATCATCTGTTTTCCATGCTCCTCTCGGTACAGCAGCTTGAAGCCCTCCATGGTCCTTTCTGGAGTAGAGGTGAGCACCCGGACAGCTTCCACAAGATTCTCCTCCATCCACTGCCGGGCTCTCCCGGGCAGCTCTTGCTCCTTCCGCTCAGCCTCCTCCTTCAGATGGGAGACCTCCCCCATCAGCTGCGAGTTTTCCTCATTCAGCCGGAGGATCTCCGCGTTCGCCGCCCCGGCCATTCTAGAGAGGTTGGCCATCTCATCGAGCTGTCGGGCCGTCAATTCCTGGAGTTCCCGATTGTGGGCCTCAGCTTTCTTTAGCTTCTCGTCCAGCTCAGATGACGGGGAGGGGGGACCCTTAGAAAACTCCTCCAGGGCGTCCGGCCCCACTTCACCAATCTGCAAAGACAAAAGGAAAAAGGTTAATTTGGGTGCATGAATGATAAAGAAAAGGCAATGTACTGGACAAGTCTTACCTCTTTCAGCCTGAGCCCCATCTTGACCCAGAGCTCTTCCAGCGATTCGGCAGCCGGGGCGTTCTCTCCCCTTTTCCTCTTCGCCGACGGGTGGGTGGTGGCCACCTTCTTGGTCCGGCTCTTCCCCTTCCCCTTGTTAGGGGGAGGATTCGCCGTGGCTCCCCCGGTCTGAGGAGTTTCCTCCTCATCGATGATCTCAAAAGTTTCCTGTTGGACCGACTTAGTTTTGGGGGGAGAGGGACGCGGACCAGCAGAAGAAGACGCACCGGTCTTCTTGTTGGGCATGCTTAAAGATCTGAACTCCATGCCTGCAAAACCAAATAAAAAATTGTTAAGTATGAAGCAAAAGACCAGTACAAATGAAGGATGAAAGAAAGGGAACGAATGATACCTGGGTGACTTGGGCCCTCAGCCTCTGCAGTGTTGCCCGGGGAGGGTACCCCGTGCCCTGCTGCTTCATGGGCTCGGGAGGTACCCTCGCCACCCGGTTGGATCCTCCAGACCCAGCTCCCATAGTGGTACATTTGCCCGGTGAAGGGGTCCCCTTGAAGAAGTTTCTCCAAACTTTCTTCCAAGTCTGGAGCGGTGGCTGGCTCGTTATATTCTTGCTTAAGGAGGTGGTCATTCCATTTTAAGCCGGCCAAGGGAGTCACAGATGGGGGGAATTTTAAAAAAACAAATTTCTCCTTCCACGACCGGTTGCTTTGTGGAAGGTTAGAAATAAACTTCCGACCATTTCGGCCTTTGAAAGTAAACAAACCCATTGCAACCAGATTTCCCGAGAAGGACCTCAAACATGTAAAGAAAGAGGCGCAGAGAAGGATTGATGCGAATATTGGAAAAGGCATTAAGAAGCCGGTGAACGTTGGGTGTGATCTGCCCGGGAAGAAGCCGGAAGCAGTGGCACACCTCAACCAAGAGGAGGCGAAGCGGAAAAAGAATGCCACCCTCTTAGGAAGTGATATGAAAACCTCCCTATCCTCCCGGTGAGGTTCAACGATGTTGGGCCAATTCTCGTCATACTCGAGAACGTAGCCCACCGGGAGGTTCCTATGGGCTTTAATCAATGCAACCTTAGATACCCGGGGGTAGATGTCTAAAACGTAGAAGGTGGGAGGGGAGAGTAACCGGCTGCTCCCAACCTCTCCTCCCATTGCATCCAGGACTCATTATCTGGGTCATAGGGACCCGGTTCATCATTGGTCGGGTCTTCCCTCTCCATAAAAACTTGACCGGGCATTTGATTGACCGGCTCCGGTTCGGGAACAGAAGGGATGGGAGCCGGTCTGGGTTCGAAATCGGAGGAAGAGTACCCGGTCGAAGAAGAGGAGGTCATAGAACCCTAAGATGCATAGGCATTTGAGGACGAGATGTTTTGACTATCAGAAGAAGACATGACTGGGAAAGAAAATGAAAAAAGGAAGGAAAGCTTTATGACTCGGAGGGCTGGAGAGCTAGAACGAGGACTTTGATTGGTAAGAGCTTGAGAGGACGTACGCGAAAAAGTGGGGAGAGGAGGGGTTGAAGGCCTTTATATAGGCGAGGAAAAATTTGAAAAATAAATGAGGAGGCGATGTGGCACATTGTGGACGTTATGATTTCTAAGGTTGGGAAGTGTCGACAGAGAAGAATCCAAAAAGGTTTGGATTGTAGCGACCATAATCAACGGAGGATCATTGGAGACACTTGAGTAATCAGTCCAAGGCAGTACGAACAAGGGAGCCACCTTCCTCACTAGGCGACAAGACCGCTAGAGGACAGAGGCAGTCACCTCGCACGCCACGTCTCCTCTAGCCTATTATAAATACTGTTGTAACCCTCAAAGGAAGGGATCCGATTTCTTCTCTCTAAGACTCCCGTGTAACAACTCCTGTGCATTCTTCTATATTCATAATATTAATTGGGCTACAGGTGCTTCCACCTACAGTCCTCCCGGTCACTTTGTGTGTTTTACCTTTTTACTTTTACGAATCTAGTAAACAAATCCTAGACCCGGTCTAGTACTGTTTACCCAGTTAGGTAATTTACACCATCAGATTCAGTGGAAAGGGGTTTGAAGCCCGGGGGCTTCAAAGCTTCATTTTTTACATTTTTAAATATACATCTTCTAAAACGAAATCAATAAAATTTAATTATTTTATTATTTAATTATATTGAAACAAAAATAATTAAAAAAATTACATTCATTAAATTTAAAGAAATTGAAACGACAATAATTTTAAAAAATTACATTCATTAAATTAAAAAAAAGCGACAATAATAAAAAAAATACATTAATAAAAAAACTAAGATAAATTATATTTGGCCTTGATCTCTTTTTGTCTTCTCTCGAAGATCATATGTTTGAAGGCCGATAACGTAGAAAGGTCGATTTCCATGATTTCGATCTCGTCCTTCTCTAATATTGAACACCCAAAGTTGTTCCACCATTGCTCGACTGATTTCGTCGCGAGAAGAAACAGAAACAGAGCCGGACCCTCCAAAACCCGAGGCAATGGATTTTGCCTTCTTTCTTCCAATCGGCCGTGGAATGGGGTCCTAATCATCGAAATCCGCAATGTTAAAGGGAGGCCTTTGTTCGGACGAACTCATAGTGTCATCGACCTCAACCTCGGCGTCGACGGAGGATCTTTTCTTTGACGATCTGCCGTCAGAATTGTTGAGTTGTTGTCACTTCAGTGAACGGCTCAAAATCCTCCAAAGATCGATGGGCACCTTGCCTTGGTGCCTGTTATCTTGATACCGGGCCGTGGCAAGCCGAAGAGCATCGGCGTCATTCGTCCCACTCCTCCAGGACCGGGCGCATTCCTCCTAAACTCCGATAAACTTTCGGACTTTACCGTTGATGTGGCTCTATTTGGAAGTGAGTTGGTCCCGGGTACGGTAGGAGCCGTCCTTGTTCATCGCCGTAAAGAACTTCTCCTTGATATGATCCCACATCGCATCCTTTGTTTGCTCCTAGCCTTTAAAAAGGTATAAGACAAAATTTTTTTATAACACGACTATATATAATTTTATATAAATAAAAACATAAATATATTAGAAAACATATAATTTTTACCAACGATAGGATACTCGGAGACGTCAACCCAAGCCGACGCCAACAAGCACACTTCCTCCGGCGTCCACTTTTGGACTGACCGTGCCGCCTCGGTCATTGTGCCTTTCGCTTTGTGGCTCTTCCGGGGTGCACCTTTTTGGTGTCGGATGGTCCAGGTTGAGTCTCCGAAATCGACTCCCGCACATAGACGTACACCGATGGTTGCGTCTCGGACATTGACGGATTACTCCCGAATTATTGGAAATACCACATGGCGTGCTCGTGAGGCTCGAGATTGTCATGGAAGAAGCCAGAGCCGGAAGGATTCACGTTGAAAAAAGAGTTGGAGAATTGGAGAATTGAAGAAGATGTGAAGAAGATTGATGAGAACTGGAGATTGAAAGGTGTGAGAATGGGAGGAGATGGAGTTTAAAATTTATAAAAAAAATTTAATTAATTTTTTTTTGCTTCCAACGGCTAAATTAGCCGTTATAGGAGGGGGAGCCTGCGTCAAACGTATGACATCGATGCAATGACGCCCCAGTGAAGCCCCATAGGGCGGTGTTTAACGCCCCCTGGGCGTTAAAACGGTAGTAACACCGTGGGGCTGGCGCGTCACTAGTATTTCCACTGCCCTAACATCTACAACCTGTTTTGCGCACTTCTGACCCTACACATGAGTCTAATTTTATCGACATGGGCTAGTTTTTCATGCAAATGCCAAAAAAACAATGAAAAGTTTAGCTAAACCAACAAACATATACTTATATCAATTACAAGCACAACGGTTCATTTATGGCGGAAATTATATCTTACAAAAATTGTCAATTGTACCTTGGTACACTCTTTTTGGAAGAGACGAAGAGTATATAATTCCCCAATGCCAAAACAAATTTAAAAACAAAGTGTACTCTTGGCTAAGCACTTGCTTTGCTGGTTAAAGCGTTTACAGCGTTTACGCTTTTTCACACAATAATAATTGCACATTTAGTAGAATAATTGTTCTGCTTCAGATTTTTCATTATCATGTCGCCAAAAAAGCTATTTTGAAGAGTTACGTTGTGTGCAACTTTGATTTTGAAGTGAGATAATAAGTTCAAACGGCATACACAACCTACTTGAAGCCAAACCATATTCAGCTCAATCAAAAGATGAACATTTTTCATATACTTCAAGAAAAAAAGCTGAGCAATGTTTTAAAGGGCAGTTGATATTAGTAGGAAAAAAACTTACCGAATATTTCCTCTTCCCCATGATGCACCCAATCAGTGTAGTTAGGCAAAAATCCATAGAACATGAGGTGATGTGTCACCTCATCTCTATTAAACCAGCGATTGTGCCCAAGCACACAACGTTTGCAGGGACAAACAATCACTTTACTATTCCCAGCATTGGCAAAAGCAAAATCTAGAAATGCTTGAATTCCCGCTATATATTGTGCGGATGTTCTATTCATTCTAATCCAACTTTTATCCATTTCTCAAACAATGCTAAATAACCTAAAAAAGACAAAAATTCAAATTAGTAAATAATGCATGTTAAATTTATACTTGATGACAATAAATAGGGCCTAAGGGTGTTCTTTTAGCTTCAAAACATATAGTTTGTTTACCATATATAGTGAGTCAAACACCTACATTTGAACACCATAAAATCAAATTTGATAGAGCCAAAGAGTAAATACAAAATGAAAGATATTTCAAAATTCAAGGTACATCACATACTTCAGTTTTGAGAAACATATTCCAAACATCCTTTTTATTCTCTTCAGCCATTATAATTTTTTGTCCACTGGTTTTCCTTTTTTGATTTGTTCAGGGGTTACATTCTTAGTTTCTTTTCCTGGTTTTGTGATGTGTTTCTGTTGGTAGGTTTTCCACGGATCCTAATCTTGAGTTTTAAGAAGTCAGAATTTGCTGTTGGATTTACCATAACAATGAGGCTGCTATTGAGGATATGTTTGATTGTTGAAGTGTGATTTTATTCTCCAAGAAGTTTGTTTGATTTAAAAAGCGGTATTTGCCATATTGTTTGTTCGCATCGTATCATATCCGCTGTTCTTATTGTACCAGAACATATGTTTGATTTCATATTACTTGTTCTCACTCAAATTTGCCTTTTTGAAGGGAAGTGCCCCAATTCTCTAGGGAAGAACTGAGCAAAGTACTTCTAAAATCTGAAGTTTTTTAACTACTATGAACTTTATGATCTTTATTTTTGAAACTGTTCTCTTCTTTTTTTGTCTTTTTTTCAGGAATCTCACCCTGTTTTTGTTGTTTCTGAAACTGTGTTCTTTTTTAGTTTATTTCAAAATCTACTTTCTTTTAAAGAATCAATAAATTTGGTTGCAAATAAGCAAATAAGAACCAAATCACAAGCAACTTTATATTTATATATGTGTGTGTGTGTGTGTGTGTGTGTGTGTGTGTGTGAGTACAAAAAAATTAGTCATTACTTCTCCTCCCCTCCCTTCCTCTTTTGAACCAAACACAAAACATTCTTTTCCTTCCTTTCCCCTCCAAAATACCCAGAGAGAGTAATATTAAACCCCTCCATCTCATTCCCTAATTCCCTCATATCCATCCCATTCCATCCCCTTCTCCCCAACCAAACACAGCCTTAGGGCGCATGTAGGATGCCATTTTGAACAGAGAATCCAACAACTACAACAACTGATTGTGCATATAGCAGTTTATAATTGATAAACCAAAACAATCAATCAAAAAGAGGCTAGTAAATGAGGAGTAGGCAACAAGTTGTTTGGCAACCTCTTTTTGTATAGCAAAACCAATCCTACAAAAGGTATGGGTCTTAGGGTTCGAGAAATTACTATTACTATACACGACCCGCTGGACAGAATTTTACAATCCACACACAACTGTTCATAACTACACCAATTTTTTTTCAGAACAACATCAATATTATTATTTTTTCAAAAAAAGTAAATAAATTGCAACACTGCAACTCTGTAAATCCAAATCCCAAATACTAGACAATTGAAGTGTCTAAAAATCTTGACCACAAAAACCAGCAATTTAATTATATGAGACAAATAGGTAAGCGCATACCTCAATCGTATGGACTATGGATGGGTACAGTAGATGGACGAAAATGGCTCGAAGGAACTGCTGCTCGCCAAGGCTGAAGGAAGAAGAAGAAGCGTGAGTTTGAAAGACCTAGCTAATTCTATCTACGGGCTAAAAATTAATTTTCGCGGCCAATGAAAATGTGGGCGCCAATATAAGCCTGGAATTCACTATTCTTGATTCGTGGAATTCGGATCCATGAAACAACCTGAGATGTGGACCGGGAGATTAAAAAGTACCTAATTCAATCCAATCTGATCCGATTGAATCTGATCTAATCTGGTATAATCTTGGTATAATCTGATCTAATTTAATCTAGTCTGATTTAAATTCGATTAAAATTGAAACTAAAAATTTTATTATAGTAATAGTAATAATAATAATAGTAATAGAAATAATAATAATATTAATAATAATAGTAATAATAATAATAGTAATAGCAATAATAATAATAATATTAGTAACAATGATAATATTATTAATATTAATGGTAATAATAATAATAGTAATAATAATAACAATAGTAATAATAATTATAATCATAATATTAATAGTAGTAGTAATAATAGTATTAATAATAAGGGTAATAATACTAATAGTAATAATAATAATGATAATAATAATAATAATTCTGCTTAGATCTAGCCTGATAGGTTCTGATTTGATCTGATTTTAATAAGAATAAGTAATAGGCAGAAAAAATAAGTTGAACGAAGTGCTACCTAAGGGTAAGGATCCTTAGTTTTTTTATAGGAGTGCCGTAAATTTTGTAATTAAATTCTGAAAAAAAATAAAGAGTAATTACCTAAATGGTTTTTTATAATAAGAGATTTTCCATATTTAATCATCTATTATCAAATAGGGAGAAGGACCAAACTAGGAATAAAAGTTATGTCATGTTCTTAAAATAGAAGCTTAAACTCAAACTATTCTAAATAGGAATAATTAATTAATTTTTGTCCTCAATTAGCAGTATCTCTCTTCTCACACTCTTTTCTCCCTTCTTTTCTCATTTCTTGCATACGTTAAGGGGGGGCTTGGCCTTGGCATTGAATATAAACAAAGTGGTGCCACTATAGATGTCTGCTTGACGTGTGAAAACAAATCAGCTATTGAGAAGGAAATTAATTATTTATTATTATGATATTATAAAATCTTTATATTTATTTATTGAGGTGTAACATTTATCTTGTTATGATATCAATCCAATTGCCTATTTTTTAAATTAAAAGGTTGATTTTACAAATAGTTTATATTTTCTAGTCGGAAAATAAAATAGGACATTATATTTATTCTTTATCAAAACAACAGTTAACTACTAAGTTGGCTAATTTTTTTTATCTAAAGTTAAAATATTGTTAATAAACGATTCTTTTAACTATATCGTCAAGGGACGACAACAAAATCACACCCAAAACTCAGTACCACAGGCAAATATCGCTCTTTCTACCTTGAACCTGAATATTTATATGTGTATCCTGATTCAAAACTTAAATATTTTGATTTCACGTTATTAGGAAGAGAAAAGAAACTTGATAATTAAACATCTTCTTCAAGTGTTGCCACATGCCCATAGAGTGTCAAACATCACCTTGTAGATATATGTCAAAATTTTTAACCAATAAATAGAAACTCAATAAATTGCTATAATAAAATGTATATACAGTGTCAAAGAAGACCATATTTAACGCCACACCTAATCGCATAATGACAATCATGTCATTGTATAAAGTCATACATGCAAATGCATAATGCTAAACCAAGATATAATGTTAAATATGACAATATATAGTGCTACACTTGGCAATGTATAATGACATATATGCCAAAGTATAATGTTACATATAACACATATGCTAATGCATAATCTCAAAAAAGTTAAACATCAAGAAACTCTATTTGCCAACACAATAATCATTTAGTTTCAATATATGTTTTACAAAATAATTTTCTAAAAACTAAACCCGGATTTAAAATCAAATGTCACAACCTATTGAAATTGAATATAAAATTAAATCTAAAGTTTCAAACCCACGCAAGGCTAAAAGAAGTAGTACCAATTTTACAAAATAAATCCCAAAGAAGTAAATTTTTAGATTTAAAATTGAATTTAACTACTTATGTCAAATTAAATATCAAATTGAATTCAACTTACCCAAGGGGACGGAGACATCCGAGCGATGAAAAATGGAAATAATGAAGAGGGATGAAATCGGAGATTGTGTGTATGAGAGAAAGGGAGATAATGGAGAGTGCGGTGGAATCATAGCCGCAAAGAGAGATGGTAGCGGCGGAGAGGGGATTGAGATTTGGTTGACAGCGTTAGCAACTAAGGTTAGAACGAAGAAGGAGATCGTAGAAGGATGGGATTGGGAAGGAGTCGGGTGATTTTTCGACCGCATAGGACTGGGATGTGGTATGGGTTGTGTGGAAGAGTAAATGAAAACAAAATTTAATTAATTACTCCTATTTAGAGGAGTTTAAGTTTGAACTCCTATTTTAAAGATATGATATATGTTTTACTCCTATTTAGGGGGTTTTCTTTATCAAATATTATGTTCGTGATCTTTTTTATGGGTACCTTCCCATAAATATCTTTTTTATCTTTTGATATATTGGTGTTAATTTGAGGGCTAAAATTAGAATTTCACAATAATTATATATTTTTCTTGTCATACACAATGCAAGAGGTCGCTCCTGATGCATTGTTTGTAAATCATAGATGTGTACTTTTGTCGGAATCCTAATTCAGAGTTATTGTCATTTTGTCGGAATCCTAATTCAGAGTTATTGTCATAAGTTACAAACATTATATTTTCCCAAAGATAACCTAAACTATTCGTCTGATTAAGGATATGCACAGAACGTCTCGTTGTAAACACAGAGGAACAATTTCTCATAAGCCAAAGCCATTTTAGTGGCAGTGAACATAGAACCCGCATACTCCTTGCATGCCTTCCCTCTCCTCGCCAGCCTCCGCCGGCCCTCCGCCACCATCTCTTCCAACGCCGCCGCCAATGACTCCACGTTCGGAGAAAACAGCAACCCAAACTCATCTTTAACAACAATGGTGCCTTTGATGCTGGGAAACCTGGATGCCAACACTGGCTTCCCACACATCATGGCCTCCATTAACGTGAGGTCAAGCCCTTGTGGCCTCAACGTTGGGTTAACCAACACATCTATCCCGTTGTAAAACGCCTTCATCTCCGGCAGACCCATAGAGCCAAGAACTATCACTCGTGATGATGACCCTATGTACCTGTCTTGCCATGGCCCTGAGCCTACAACCACAAGGTATATGTGACGGTGTTTTTGGATTAGCCTGGAGAATGCCTTGTGAAGCAAGGGGTGCCCCTTGTCTTTCACTAGCCTTCCGGCTACTCCAAAAACCAAACACGAATGGCAATCACTTGGGACCCCGATCTTGGACCTGAACTCACGTTCCAGCGTTGGATCTTCACGAAAATCGTCCTCGTTTACTCCGTTGACGATTACGTGTACTCTTTTCTTGGGGATTTGGTAGACATCTCTCAGCAGGACCCCGCAGCTGTCGCTGATGGCGACGTGTTGAGCATAGCTCTTGAAGAACCTTATTTCGTTGAGGACTTTGGGGATTATCTCTTGTAGGGACTTGTTAAATGAGGGTGACATTGGTGTGTTAGGGTTTCGAGTTAAGTCTTGGTATATGAGGGAGTGGGCACTCTCCAAGGCTATACCGTGCCACGACACGACTAGGTTCGAGACGTTGCGTGCTAGGTGGTGCGGTAGTGCCACGCTTTCGGTGTGTACCACGTCAAATGCTTCTTTTTTGTTCTCTTCTTGGAATTCCTCCCACGCTTTGTTGTAGCGCCACCTCCCCGGCTCGCCCTGGTGCCAATGGATGACCGGAGCGGTGGCATGCTCCCCACGCCATGTAGTGGTGACTTGTTCCGACATAGGGGGAGAAGTGAAGATGTGCACACGGTGGCCACGGCGCGCTAGGGCCGTGTGCAACGTGTGCGCGTGTCGCTCCATGCCACCGGGCGCGGCAATGGTAGGCCACTTCCTCGAGAAAACTGCAACCCTCAGAGCCTTCGTCGGGGGAGTTTTGTCCGGGAATTTCAAGTGGTTCCATGAGAATTTGATGTCGCGAAGATCGCCTGACCAAGGCTTGGGTTCATGGGAAGATGAGGTGGTGGTGGTGCAAATGGAGATGGTTGGAGAGTGGAGGAGGAAAAGGGTGGGGATGGTGAAAAGGACTATGAAGAAAAGGGTGGTGGAGAGGGCGGAAGACAACAGGGGCTTCTTCGCCTTGGCATTGTTCAAGGCCATTGTCTTTGAGGTACGAAAAATATGGACTAAACACTATATATACATGCGAAAAATATTTGTTTTTTTAAAGAGAAATTTACGACTAAAACATAATAACTTTTCCAATATAGGACCATATGTTTTTATTTCTCAATGTAGGACCTTTAGTCATTATTTATTTGTCATTATTCAACTAAATGTCCAGCATCACTTGGACATTATTCTTCTCACTAGTCATTATTAAGTCCTATTTAGAGAATAAAAAAGTTTAAGTCCTAAATTGGGAAATGACCTATGCATTAGTCCTATTTAGTTCAAATTTCACTTTTTTAAATATGTAATTTTTTCTTTGTTAACTTGATACGATTTTTCATATAAAATGATTTAGATATAATTTCAGTCAAACATAGTAACGCGCAACGGAAACATTATTATTGGATAAAGGGAATATTAAGTGCTCATTGATGAAAATAAGATAAAGAAATTGGAAGAAATTAAAGTTAGGCACGCATTAATGCAAGCTCTCTTTGATAGTTTGATGAATGCATGCGTTCTTTACGCTTATTTCTTTGTACTCATCACGTTTCGCAGGGTTATATATACCCTGTAATTGTCCCTTCTTTTCAACATGGCCACCAAAAACATGTAAAATTCTACCCTACCCAACAAAAAAGGTGGAATGTGTTTGGTGGAAAGGGTTCTAGTGGTGCTTAATTTAAGATTCATCATGAACCTTCTCATTTTAGTAAATTACTTTATCCGTACCAAATCATTTTTTGTAACTCAG